GACATCATTAGGAGAGTCAGTATGTTGGACTCTCTTCATGATGTCAAGGACTTCCTGTCCATGTCCCACTGTGGCCTATGGTGATGGCACTGGTCCTCATTCGCAGCTTTCGCCTCTCTAGCTCCTCATCATGTAACTCACATCTTTTTGACTGGCATGTCCACCGAGTACGTCTCATCACAGTCATGGCCTGAGAGAGGTTTTTCAGTGATGAGAACCTCAGCGAGAAGGAATCTCATTATTTTCAGTGGATGGGACCTGCAGTTGGATGTTCCACACAGCGCTGAGGGTAAATTATGGTTGCAGCCCTTGAAACATCTCCTGCCAGAAGTTAACAATATCTCTTTTTAACAAAGGAGCGCTGCAGTGGTTGTGGGCCTCTAGTGCGCAGCAACAGTACCTGCTATGAGCAGAGTTTTTATCATAAAACAGATGCTCCAGTGCCCATTTTTAATTGGTTATCATGTTGAAAATTGGTGTACAATATCTAAATGAACACTTACATTTGACCTTAGAGTTTTAACTGTAAGAAGTCTAATTTAATATTATTGCACTTAAAATTAACCCCTCATATGACTGCTGGAACTTGCCTGACTGAAATATACATTCTATCTAAATTGTGCACACTTGCCTGATGGGACAATAGACCTTTTTCACAGCTGCCATTTTGAATTATGAAATAGTAGGGTAAATACAGCTGTTACCAATGACATTAATAAAGGTTGTGTCAAACAGAGTGAGGGCGCTGCTATTGTGCATGTTTGGCTCACTGAAAAAGCTCTGCTATTCTAAATTGAATGCGGCCTTAATTAGTATCATTGGTAACACCTGTGTTTGCCTTACTATTTCATGTGAAAATGGCTGCTGTGAAAAAGGTCATTTTGGCACGTCATTGCTGGAAAAGCATAGGTGTTATTAATAGCATTGAGAATATTGCATTTAGGGGAGCTGGGGGCCTGGTATTGTGCGTGCTGGCCTGCTGGCATGGCTTTCTGGGACACTAATGGAACTGGGCCATTGCTAACAGAATTTGTTTTGCCAGTGTTTTTCCTGCTATGATAAGTCAAAATGTCTGCTGTGAAAAAGATCTATTGAATAGAGTGGAGCTCTTGTACATTTTATAAGAAGCTCTGTCCATTTACCTGTGTTTATGACCATTTTTAGTTTGCTCATTAAAAAAACTGCAGCGGAAATGCTGGAAATTTGAAAGAAAAAAAAAAGTTAAAAATGTGGAGAAGTCCACTGTTTATATTCCCATGACCCATGATGCACATTCATTTGCATTTCATTTTGCTGATGTGGTGTGGAAATGTGGTTAAAACTTGCGTTAGATTTGGATTTACAAATCAAAATGTCTGCTGTGAAAAAGGTTGAGTGAAGGGCTTTCACTTCAGGTATGTCTTCAGTAGGAAGTAATTGCAATGAAAAGTGAGGTTTCGATTGGGGTCTGCGGCTTATTCAGACATTTATGGGACATTGTTTCTATTTTTTAAATGTATCACATCAGACATTTTGACTTGTTATAGCAGATAAAAGCACAGTTGGAACTTATTGTTAATAATGGCTCAGTTCCATTTAAGTGTCCCAGTGAGCGAGCCAGTATGCACCACACTTGGCCCCTGCAACTGACACATCTAAATAAAATTCAGCTGTCATTAATGTTATTAATTACACATGTTCTTTTTCCAACTGTGACATGTCAAAATGTCTGCTGTGAAAAATAACTATTGTACTGGAGTGGAGGCAGAAATCTCAGAGATGGATAAAACTTTTTAAATTTGAATATGATTGCTTTAGTGGGCAGGTGTTACGGCCTAAAGAGATGTATGCTGGGATGTGTGTCACTGTCGATTGATAAGTCTTTTAGGACTTCACACTAAGCTGTCATCGTTAAATTGTCCCTGCTCAGCTCCACTGAAACACATAATTTCTCTTTAATCTTTTTTTTATTATTATTACACAACTTTTTCAGATAGCACAGAGGCTGTATTGCAATGTGTGAGCTGTGGCTGTTCAGAGACTTCCTTTTCTTGGCTGCTTATGAAGTAGTTGGCCATTTACAGTAGTTGTCTTAAAGCATGAAACCAGATTAGTACTATTCTTTGTTTTTGATCTTTCTGCATCAAATTCCGCAAGTCTTTCTTCCTTCTCTGCCTTTCTTCTTGTTCTTTTAGTTGGTATAATGATGTGACTTTGCCAGCATCACAGATTGACTTCAATTAATACATCACACATTCTCTCTGATTTAGAGCACTTTAGTTTGATTTGGTGAGATAATTTCAGGTCAGGATCCAATTAGTATAAGGCTAAATGATTTCCCTAACAATAATTTAAAGTGAGGGCTGCTGCTGTGACACTCAAAGCAAGAAGGTCCTGGATCACGGGCCAGCTGTTTCTATGTAAATGTCTTTCTGTTGCTTTCACCCCACAGTCCAAAGACACGCAGACCAGGAGACCTAGCAGATTAAAATTGCCCATATAAATGCATCTGCCTGGTGTTAATCCGATGATGGACTGGTGACCTGCTTCCCTGCCAGCAGGGATGCTCTCCACCCCCCTGTGACTCTGAGCGGGAATAAGTAGGTATAGAAGATGAATGTGTGAAAGCTTCCAACCACCTTTTCAAGGTTATTTATAACAATGTCACCATTATTTCGTGAATAGACTCCCAGGATTATCTACAACCCCCCTGTGCATAACAGGAATCATAAAAATGGTGTTGACTTTGGCTGGCTCCTTTCTCACTGTCACTGTTGCTGCCGCTCTGTCATTGCTAAAAGGTTTCCAACCATTGCCAAACAGTCAATATATATCCAGCAGGAGGCCGCCGAGGAAGGTTTAACCCAGCAGATGACATTCAGTACAGCGCCATAATCATTGCCTCCTAATGAATTAAATAGCCTTGACATTTCACAGCACAACGCTTGTCCTTTTCCTGCAACTGCTCTGCTGTTGTACCCCTCCTTTCATGCATTCTGTCGCTCTCTTGTTCTTGGTCTTTCTCTTGCATTGCTTTTCCATGTGCCTTCTGGCCTCTTGCTATTGCCCCCCTCCCTCCCTAACTCATTTCTGTATCCCTCACTCCCTCTCATACTCCTTCTATCGCTTCCTCTTGCTCGTTCACTGATCGGTATGCTACTGCACGCCCAGCTGTCTATGCAGGCAGAGCTGAGAGAGGGAGGGAGAGAGTCACTGTTTAGCAGCAGAGACAGAATCCAGCTGGAGGGTCACGACCCTAAGTGACCATCCACACACACACACACACACACACACACACACACACACACACACACACACACACAAACACACACACACACAGGCACCGCTCGATAAGTCATACACCCACACTTCCCTGATGGCAGGAGCAATAGGTCATATGCCAACAATGTAGGAGGAGAGACAGACAAAAGGAGAGAGAGGGAGAGAGTGAGATAGCAGGATTTAGGAATAAGGTGGAGGTGTGTTCACTGCTTACAGAGCCATAATTGTCCTGTGGTTTGGTAGGGAGCCTTGCAAGGACGGATAGAGAGACAGAAAAAAGCAAGCAATGGAAGGGACATGGCCTGCAGTAGAGGAGTGCTTTTTGCAACAGAGTCAGAAAAGTTTCTTTTGTCCTGGAATACAGATGAGGGCTGGATAGATGAGTGCATGGCTGCACTGTTATGGGACAGAGAGACAGATAGACTCACATATGCACAAGCACAGCCTCTGTGTCTGTTTGACTTACCTCTGTTAGACACATAGTCGTGTATGCAATAACATCACAAAGAAATTAAATGATATCAATTGATATACATTTATATATATTTACTATACAAAGATGTTCTAAATAATTACCTGTTAAACCAAAAGAGTATGTAGTTTTAGAAATGATCGTGGTATAGGCCTTTGTAGGGATTTAAATGTGTTTTATTTCTGTATGTAGGGGATTTTAATATTGTAAAAAACAAGTATTTCTGCTCTGGTCTTTTTTATTACTGAAATATAATGACTTTGTATTTGCGATAAAACCGCATTACAAATAAGCTCAAGGAAGCATATAAACACTACATAGAATTGAGCCTACATGAAGGAGTTGATATGTTGTTGTGTTGTACGTACACTGGTATATTCTGTATCCCAACACAAACACTTCTGAAACTGAACTTTTTCACAATGAATTTATTTATTTATAATAATACATAAATATGTTATTTTCATAATTCAGATGTTTATTTTACTTGGGAAATAAAGCAAAATTGTCAAATTCCAATTATTTTCTAATGTTACAGGAAAAGCGTAACATGTAACATTTATAAACTTTCAAACTTTTTATTGATAATACTGTACTGTAAGGACGCTGACGGTGCTTTTTTTCTTCTCTGTGCCCAATTGAATTGAGAATTGTTTTCCTTTGCATAGTATCCTATGAATACACTGTAGACTTTTATGTAACACACAGATACATGGTGACTCATTTTGGTGGCTAATTTCTCAAACAAACAGAAGCTTGTGGATACACATAGGCCAACACACTGTATCCCTCACTTTGGTCTTATCAAATTCATTATTCATCTAGCACATTTATCTTATGTGATGAATGGGAAATTATTGCCTCTGATCTCTAATGACTGTCAACATGAAAGATCTAAACAACATCATCTTGGATGACTAAAGACGACTCTAAAATATGTTTAAAAAAATAACCAGGGTTCAAAGCTCCAATCAGAGCTGTAACATTTATCTTGATGCTGTGAGGGTTTTAATTAGAAGGGAATTCCCGCTGCCCATGATTACTGAGGCAATAGGGGACTTGATGTCTTTGAATCCGATGTTTATTCCCTCAAGAAACAAAGGCATGCTATAATAATTCCTTTAAAAAGTTTAAGATTAGTAAACTAATCCAGACAGGGAAAAGTTCAAATTTAGTGTACACACAAACTAAACGACCTCTGGTGAATAGCGTTAAACTCCTAAACTATCGCGAGAGAAGCTCGGTTGCCGTAGTAACGAGAGCCAAACACAACCGCCCTGAGCGCAGCCTGGAGCGTGCCAACGTGTGTTACTGAAACATTCAATTTAATGACCACAAGGCACTGAAAGATTGATAGTGCTATCACAAGCCGGGGAACCGACCGAGAGTGGCGGAAGCATAAGGTGAGTTAGGTATTCTCAGCAGTGTGTGAAGTTCATTTACTGTCGCTAACTTGAGGTTACCGACACTCACTGTAACGTAACGTTAACACAGTCTGGTTGGCTTCACGTTGACTAGCTTTCAGTTAGACCCGTGTGTCTGTTGCCTTTGCTGTAAGTTTATATACAGGCGGGTCAACAGTAACTTTAGCTCTCCTTTATCAAAACTTTATTATTCACTGTATTATTGTCTGCTTTAGCAAATATATCCTTGGTTTGGGTCAAGATAACTGAGGTATATGGGTCATATAAGAAAACATGATGATGTATTCTGAGTCATTGTTGCCAAGGCTGTCCACTGTGGTTGCCAGGCAGGGTTGCCCCCCCCAACCTTAGGTCACTGTGTTGAAGTTTTACCCTGATATTGTGTATAATGATTTGCATTTACTAAAAGACTTTCATTCAAAATGCAATAACTTAACTGCATGTTGTGTTATTTATTATTGTTTCTATTGGGATTTACAGGGATGTTTTTTAATCAGCATGTGAAGCTGAAGACAAATTTCCACATTTGTGGACAACAAATATTATTATTTTGATTTGTATCTTTGTTAAGCGGTTACCCAGCTTGAGTGAAACTTACAGTATCTAAACACCTTCCACCTAATGCCACTTTGGTAGCAGCTGAGTTGCTAACAGGTGTGGCTGTCTTGCTATTATAACAATATATTATATCTGCCTCACTGGCTAATTTTCTTAATTGGCTTTTACTGCCTAAAGAGTTGCCAGCCATTTGTCAACCGTATAAGTCTGTCAGATACAATTTAAACACACAGGATTGCTTGTTTTAACTGCCTCTTATACATTCGCGCAAATCTGTCCCTGCTATTTTGCTCTTTTCATTACAGCAGTATTCATTTATGGCAGTCTGTGATTTAGCCTGGGCCCAGCGTGACAGCCAGTTTTATGCCATTACTGTTGGGTTTTATTGCAGGAGAGACTCTTTGTTAAAAGCACAGCGAAAGACGCAGGAGGAATACCTGAGCCCCCGGAAAGAAGAGGCATGAATTTAAATGACTTTGTGGTGCTTCCGCACAACAAGGCCAAATCCGTCAAGCTCAATGCCAGGTGAGATGAGATAAGATCAATGATGTAATTTAAGGCACATGTCATTTTGAATGCATTACTTGGCTGACACACTGTTTCCATCTGCTCCCATTCAAATTCTGCCCAGATAATGGCAGAATTTGACTAAATGGTGTTTCAGGCAGGTTAACCATGTGACCTGGATTCTGCTTCAGTGCAGTGCAGTTGTTTTCTTGATATTGCCCCGCGCAAAATTGAGTCCAGTCTCCTACATAGTTTCTCATTTGCCAACAGGTAATTGACTTAATTGATGTCTGCCTTGGTGGTACCCTGATCCAGTGACTAATTGATCAAAGTATTGATCAGTCATGGCAACAGGGATCTGCTAGTGCAGCAGATGAATTGAACGTATCGATGAAAGCCCGGCTGTCCAATCTGACGGAGTAGGTCATTTGTATGATTGATTGTTGTTGATTGATTGCATATATGTGAGTGTGTGTGCATTGTTGCCATAGGAACCTGCAAGAACTGCAGATGGAGACGGTGACTCTGGGCCAGGAGAGCAAAGACATGGAGGAGAAACTGCAACAGCTGAAAGAGAGCATGAGTAAAGAAAAGGAGGAGAGAGGGTGAGTATCAGTGTTATAATTAGCGTACCAGAAAAAGAGGAGAAAGGAGACGGAGAGGGGGCATGGAGGAGCGAGAGGGGCAGACCTAAGTGGGAAGGTGAGAATGGAAGTAAGATAGCAGAAAGCAGCAGGAAGAGAGGAGAGAGATGGTGGTGAATAAGTACTGTATGTACAGGATGGGCTGCAGCAGCTGTAACAGAAAACACAGAAGAGGGGATTCATTTTCCTGAATCAAGTTTAAACTGACTGCACAAGTAGTTTTACCACTCTGTACCTCTTTACCACTGTCGTCTGCACTCCATAACGTGGAATATCCGCGTTATTACTTTGCTGTGGTTGGATTTGTGTGACATCTTATGCTGTTAACTCCACCAGCAACAGGTCTCTAAGGATGACGCTGTCCATTCGTCAGTCTGTCTTACTGTCCAACCCTTTAATCCGGAGCAAGATATCTGAACAATGATACGCCCGATTCCCTCTAATTGAGTACTGGAATACAGTAAATATAGTTTTTTATTTGGCCTATGCAGATAATAAAATTGTGCCATTATTTTGGTGAAAGTAACCACCTATGTGATCTTAAAAGTTACTTAGATTAATACTCTCAGACAGAGAGAAAGGAGACAGTAGGAGGCTTACAGGAGGATTACAACAGGTAAAGAGAGTGTTCTGAGAAGAAAGAGAAGGACGATGGAGACCTAAAAGGAAAAGGGGAGAGAGAAAGTCTTGACAAACAAGAAAGGCTGAGGGAGGAATACAGTGATATGGGAGATAAGAGGTTTAACGTACAGATTCTGAAACATATCATATCCACAGTCACAGCTGAACGTATAGGGAACAGAGCAGGTGACTAATGGAGAGACGGGAGTGGGGGAGAGAGGTAGGAAGGTGGGAAAAAGACTGCAACAGCTGTAAAAGAGCAAGCAACGAGAAAGTAGAGACACTGAGTAATAGAGATAGATGGAGGAGGAGACTAAATGAGAGTGACGGGGAGGTCCATGACTTCTCTACCTATAAAGGTCAAGAAAAGGTTGGCATGGAAGGGAAAAAGGAGCAGTCAGAAAATTGAAAAAGCCACTCATAGATGAAGTAGGCTCATGCTTATATAGTGGACTATTCTAAAGGTCACTGGAGCCCTACAGACACTTTGGTCCTAACAACTTGTATGCAACCATACTCATATTTTCCCCTCACTGGAATCGATGGCCAACAATGCTCTCCACATATGAAAGACATTAATGGAAGAGCATGTCAAGCGCACACAGAGGACATAAGAATAAGCAACAGTAAAATGAAGGAGTAAGATTACAATGGGAAAGCATTTAATGTTAATCTAATATTTTAATTAAAAGGAATACATTTACTGCCACAAGTACCCCGGTGTTTTTCTTTTCTTCCTTTACCAATCTTAATGAAAACTACAAGTCCTAATTGTACCTGTCTGCAGTGTATTCTGTTTGACGTGCTTTTTGTTCGGCTCCCATAATTGCCACTATATTTTCAATAATGCTTAATGCTTACAACATATTATACATTAACTGTCACAACGCTTTAGTCTAATTGCAGACGATTTGCAGGCGTGCAGATTTTCTGGTGCAACATGATTATTATTATTCTACAAATACCTCTCATAGATTTATCTCATTTTGAGAGGCTTGCAAAAAGCACACTTCAAAACAGATGAACGATATGTTGTTTCCATGATGCTATTCAGTGAGCATTCATATCACAAGCAGCTGCCCTTCAGTTATGAGCTGAGTTGTAAGTCTGTCATTTAAAAAAAAACAAAACAAAACAAGTAGCACTCTGGTGACAAAGAATATATTATTAACTGTATAGATTAAAATTAATTTAATTTATTTCAGGGTTTGTACCTATGTATAAACATTCATAACAAATCATAAGCCCTTCTCAATGTCAAGTTCTGAGTTCAAACTCCCAAGGATGGGAGGATGCAGTACAATGAATTTACAGTTGTCATTTGGACTTAGTATTTGGGCTGTCCCCCCCCACCGAATCCATTGTTCATCTCTCATTTATAACTTCTTTTTCCATATTTAACAGAGACCTGTTCACATTCACACAAGTCTCCTGAACTTGCAGAGGAACACATTATGATTGTGTTCTCTTTGAGGTAGATTTATTTTCCTCTTGTAAGGGCCAGGCCTGCACATAATGAAATTGCCTGAGTCACTGTGCAAACTGATTGTAAGCAATGGAAACAGACTCCAACATTTCTTTCTATTTCCAAGTTCTCACATGTCAAATAATAAGTGTCATCGTGACAAAAGAGATTCTGTTTTGATGATGAACAAAAGCAGGCCTGTTTTTAGATAAACACTGTCTGTCTAGTGGTTGTAGGTCTATGGCTGTTATAGGGTATAATAAAATACTTTTATTTATGTTTTGCAATTAAACAAATGCTGGATTCTTATTGACTGGGCATTGGGCTTTACACCATTCCTAAATATAATGGGACAGCATACACATAGTGAACATGCACACAAAGACAAAAAAAACATGCTTCCACAAATTATAATAGATATATTGGATAGCTCACTCACACTCATGCAAAATAGCATTTCATTACATAGTGTGTGCCTGGCCCATTACTGTAATAACTAACTAATTTCATATCGAGGGACATCCCAATCTGTGTGAGCAGGAAATGAATTTGCAGAATGAAAATAAACACTGGTTATTAATGTGATTGTTTTATTCTCAGTTCCCAGTTCACCTCATTTCATTGATAACTCTGAGATGTGTTACCCAATGTGAAGTTATGGAGAACTGCCTAACAGAGGTGTATATCACAGTATATGAGCACATAACTCAGAGACAGCTTTAGGGAGAAGGGGTGTATGTATATTACGCGCAGGCTTCTTCAAATTGTAACAGGTTACATAAACACACACAGACACACACACACATTTACCGGCAGCGCTGCTAATTGCAATGTTAGTGATTTAAAGCTGGGGTATGATGAGACTCTTTCCACATGATCTATTTCTATTGGTTGAAATTCATACATCACAAACAAACAATGGAATGCATACTGTAGATTATAATTATAGGTTAATACGTATTTATTGTTTTAGGCGATGAATTGTGTGTGTGTGTGTCCTTGTATACTGTATGAGGACTGCTTTATTTCTCAGCGGAGGCCTAGCTCTAATTAAGAAGCCATACATCAGTATGGGGAGAGGCCCATCTTGTCCTGGCTGCACAAACGATAAGCACATAAACACAGTGTTTCCTGTCACACTGAAATACTGCAACATTTACCGCTCCACCAGCCCCAAGATACGACAAGGTGTGTGCGTGGCTGCCTGTGTGTATCATTTGATACTAGTCCTCCATAAATAATGGCGCTTGTGTTTGTGTGTGTGTTTTTTTCAACAATTTGCGGGTTGTAGAGGGTACTACGCTTTTTTTGGTTCTGTCTATCTTGTGTTCCTTAATCAGATCAACTCCGCTAAAGGACATGGATCTTGCTTAAGCTCGACAGTATGTCTGTGAAATATTACTTGTTTCCGAAAGATTTTACATTGTGTGTGAAGACAGCTTGAAAGGGGTGGAAAGATATAGTGAGAGTTTGTGTATGTGTGAGAGGTAGTGTGTGAAGGCAGGAGAAAGACTCTGGCAAAGACTCACTACAAAGTGTAAATAGATGAAATAGTTTACTCTGGATATGATGTGGCTGAGAGGTAACTGAAAAAATGATAACACCATATTAAGTATTCTTTTTTCAAATGTTTATTCACCTGTTTAGAATAGCAAATTAGTCAACCTTCCATTTCAGACAGGCCATTGTTGATTAATAATGCATTGCTGATTTGTTTTTGTGCACACTGGTGTCCCTAATCAGTCTTGACTGTGCAGAGCCGTTGTCAAGGAGAGCGTAGAAGAACATTTGAACACCTTTTTCATTTCTCATGCTGCTGCTGGGTACAGAGACAGAGGGGAAGCGGGGACTCACAGCAAGTCTTTTGGTTTGATTGAGATGGGTCAGAAGATGAGTTGTTCTACCTTTTATATTTAAAACTACCACAAAGAACTGGTTATGAAACAATCTCAGTTGAATACAGATGCCTCTGTATGAGCTACATAAGCAAACAGGACCTTCAGCAAGAGGATTGGCTGTTTCTGTATAGTTATTTTTAATTCATGCTACCATATCAGATTCCCCATGAGATCAATCAAACAAGGTGGTAGAAATGTTGCTGATTTTGTCTACAAAAAAAGAACATTCCTCGTTGCTGCTTTAACTACTGCTTTTCAAGTGTAACAGATTGCCATACTTCCATACTTTGTTGTATATTTGCTGTCTGTTGGTCAACATGTTGAATATGCAGTTGACGCAGTGACCAGAAGTGGATGGGAAGGTAGAAGAAAAGTTTGTGATGTGTGATGAAGCTGAAAACACATGAACTGGGATTGAAGAGGAGCAGTCATGGAGTAAATTACATTATTAGGTACTAAAATAAAACAGATACACACGTCCCATCCGTCTTTTACAATTGAACTCCACATTAATGTAGCTGCAGCTGCCTCCTACCTTTTATCTGAAAGCTGTGTGCTGCGATGCAGCAGCCTCTTAGATGTGAAGTCCAGCTTAACAGTTTGAATCAATTAATCGGCACACCTCTAATGAAGAAGAGGAGACACTTTCTCATCAGTTCCTCTCTGACTGACACGGGAGAAAGCAGACAAGGATGGGGGGCGTTGGCGGCTAATCAGGTGTTATGATGTGAAGGTTACCTGGATTTTCTTTAAGCTTCCTACCTTACCCGTCTTTTCTTCTCAGAACATGCGAGTATATCTTTGACAAGTCTTTACTGCAGATCTTCAAGCTGTGATTTATGCTCAGGCTGTGCGGTGTACTGTGTGTCTGTGTTATGCACCACTCTGTTTTTCTCTCTCTGCTTTCCTCTTAGATCGCAGAGCTCCCAGAGTAGATGAATTGTTCATCTTTGTCTTAGAGTCAGGCTACACACACACACACACACACACACACACACACACACACACACACACACACACACACACACACTTATATACGGACTCAAAGAATAGGCGAACAAATTCAGTTTGCCGAGAGGAGGTGCGGTATAATCAGTTTGTGAAGAGTACACAGGCGATAATAAAGCCAGACCCGTGGCTTGGGGCAAACGCAGTATATCATTCTCTGTTTTGGCCTGCCCGAATCACAGATTTAATGTAGCTTTGTCTTTAGGCCTACATGGCTTACAGACACTCACTCTCGCCTTATCTAAAAGTACAGTTGAGGTTCTCCTTTTTCCTGCCCTCTTTGCTTTCTCTTTGCTGTGCTTTTCTTTCTATAGGCCTCTGCGCTCCCTCTCTTACTCTTTTTACCAGTCTTTGTTTATTATTTTTTTGTCAGTACGTGTATTTGTTATATTTGACCCCTACTAGCACCTGTTTCAGTCTGTATGTGTTCATACATACACGTGTGTTAACCTTACGGCCTGCTCATGCTGGCCTTAAATGCGCTAACATGTGTTTATAGGATTCTGTGTCTGAATGGCTCTTTTATCTCCTCCTCAACCCTCTCTGTTTTTTCCCCATCCTCTCGTCTCACACTGGGAAAGCGGGAATTGGGAAATGGCATTAGACTTCAAAGTGTGTGTACGTGTGGGACGCAGATGTTGTCAGTTCTCCCTTTGGGTGAGACAGGTCGGTTAAAGGTGATAGCTATATGTCTGTTTGTGTACATGTCCTAGCGTTAGACATGAGTGTGTCCAGGTACGACAGGCAGCGTTTGCCTTGGGTTAACATTGAATAATTTGACGTTTCTTCTCCTTTCCTTTCCTTTCCTTGCATTGTATTTGTTTGTTCATTTAGAATTATGAGCTTGCTCTAAGCTAATGTGACGCTGTACTCCTCACTGTCTTTCTTCCGCTTTGACTATGATGAAGAATTTTTTTTGACGAGGTGGTGTTTGGTGTCGCGTTTGATGTTTGTTTCCAATATGCAAGTTGTGACTCAGAGGTTGTCATCTGCTATCCACTCACTAGACAGTGAAAGGTGCACAGCAATGTGTGATAGCACTGTGTGAATGTGCATGTGTCTGTATGTGTTTTTCTTTCTCTGTTTAACAGGTGTAATCATGTCGCTGCATGCCATTCTCACTGCATTGCTGGCTTTATCACACACAGAGAAACATTGACTACGGGGATGTATCTGTATGTTTCTAAAAACAACTTTAAGCCATTATTATTTTGAAGTGCGTATTTACTCATACGTTCATGTGTGGGTGTAGTTGAGTGTGTTTCTGTGGGTATTAGATAATGAGATCTTTGCTAATGCAAAGTCCTCAGAGACACACAAACAGACACACTATCTCTCCAGGCTGCCTGTCCTGAGGGGACACCCTGTCATCCTGCACCAACGGGGGTGTGCCTCAACTGTCTCCCCTAGCGACAGTCCAGTTTCCAAGGTGATGTCGCCAGGGTGATTACCTGACGCCCACCCTCAGTGTCAGCGCAGCACAGCAACGGCGTCAGGGATGTTGGCAACTCTTGCCATCACACACACACATACAGAGAGACACACGCTCATACACACAAATAGAGTCTGACTTCCTGTGCCTTGACAGGCTGCCAGCTCAATCCAAAATAAACTTCTTTCAAAGACAGCCAGACATCACAATAGCATAAATAGCATAAATAATTCAACAACATGAGCATGAATAACTCCCATCTAAATGAGGATCCCTCTCCATTTCTTCACTTTCTGCAACTGACATGAGCATCCTGCATGAGTGTGTGTGTGTGTGTGTGTGTGTGTGTGTGTGTGTGTGTGTGTGTGTGTGTGTGTGTGTGTGTGCATGTGCATGTGCATGTGCATGTGCATGTGCATTTGCATTTGCATTTGCATTCAAGTTGTTGTTTTTGCATCTGCATCTATGCCTTTGTGTGTTTATGTTTGAGTAAGTATAATTCCTGTAACCTTTCATGTTCTATTTCTATGTGTGAGGTTCAGTAGACCTCTATTGTCTACAACGAGATGGAAAACATCCATCCCTTTGGTCTTAGACTGGATCATGCACTGTGAAATTTAGGCCCCTTTGACATTGTACGTGTGCAGAATTTATGTTGGCAAAGCCAAATTCTTGCGTGTGTGTAAAGGCGTGTGGCAGAGTGCTTTTCCTTGCTGTTCTGAGGCTTCTTAACAACACAAGGACTATGTTGTGATAAATTAAACACTCTTTTCTGTCTAATGGAACAAAGTGATTTTTTTCATGGATTTAGTCTGAGGGACTTAGTTGCGTGGTGTTGTTATGCCTTTTTCATGCTGATATATTATTTTATTTTTCTTGACATCAGGTCCTTCTCCTGTACTTAAGTCTGACACTGGAATTCTGACTCCTTGGATGAATGGATTAAAATGCATTCATTCTTAGTTTTGTTACATCTATTCTGCCTTCACTTTCACCCCACTGGAAATACAGGAATAGCAAGGTGTTTGCGTTGCAGTTTTTTTAAAATCTTACAAATATTTATTTTAACAGTTAATGTGGACATGTAAAGAATGCATCTTCTCCATTCACTCTACTTTATTTGGTATATGCTGCGTGGAACAGTTATGCGAAGGTTCTCAAATATAATGGAAATGAATCTGTATTAGAAAAATGATTTAAAAAAACATCTTCTCTGTGTGTTTCGATGTGTGTGTCTGTGCCTGTGTTGCATGTTGTTGTTGATGAAGAATCTCGATTGTTATGTTTTCAGCTCCCATACCCAGATCTTCTAACGTCAAATGAATATTAGAGTGACTGTTTTTGTAGATATGAAAAACATGTCTTCATTAAAAAAGAAGCATAAACAAATCAAACAAAGGACTAGATGTAATCACTGTTTCTCTTTTCATTTTAAATTGGAGCTATGATACTGTAGATGAGCTATGTAGTCGAATTCAAAAGGGGCTGTATATCAAAATTGTTGATTTACAATTGCCAAACAACCTCTCTCTCCCGTTGTCTTTCTGTCTGTGTAGGCATTCTGGAAGGTTTAGATGGAAGTCTGGGCAGTGTGGTTCTTTAAACAGCAATGCAACCAGCACCAAGATGAACAAGGAGAACAGACTCCAAAAGGTACAAGAGAAATCTATTTCAGCGTCTGTGGATTAGGCATGGGACGACATGAAAATGTTATAATTATCTTGGTTATAATGGTGATAGATGATATTATCACGATAATCAGGAAAATATACTTGGCTCTAGAGCTAGCTCTAACACTACAATAATACTGCATTTAGTTAAGAAACACTTATATTTATTGCATCACCCTGTTATTATGTTATTTTGGAATCTATACTATTCCCACGCAGTGGTTTAATCTTTTTTTTTTTGTGGGTGATGTAACAGGCAAGCTGAGCCTTCAGCCATAGTGATATAAGATTAGGTTTAGGATTTTGGAAAGACTGGAAAGATGCAGGCACCCCATTGTCCCCTTGTTCAAGATAAATCCGGAAATCAAAATAGGACTGTATGCTGGTGATCTAGAGACTTTTTTAAGTCAAGCCATGTAAGAATATTCACAGTTATCCAGATTTATGATTAGCACGATAATGGAAATTTACCAATTTATCTTAGTTCCATTTCCTAGTGTGCTATGGATGCACAATGTTCCTGCATCAATAAAAAGTGTGCACCCTGCCCATTTATATGAGAAGTTTGTGTTCTTGATCTCAGGGGAGGAACCCTAATGTCTTTGAGTTTGCACTAGAAAAAAGTAACTTCTAAAGGTTATGACTGCCTTAGAGTAAAAAAAGAATAAGAATAATTGAATTCTCTGCATTTCAGTTTCAGCAGAAAGCAGGGGCACTGCTGTTAAATGCCCCCTTGTAAAGGTGGTGGGAGACAAATTATGATTCTCATTGAGAGGCAATAAAAATATAAAAGATTTAATCAAGAGTAAATAAAATAAATTAAATATAACATTTATTCATTTTATAACACAGACTGAAAATATATTGAAGAACCCCATGTGTAGCACATTTTATATGAATTTTTTTCCACATTAAAAAAATACAGTGATTTTAAATTGCAAAAGATAATATGAACACAGAGTAGGTTATAAATACAAGCTTGCCAACACCTACATATAAATGCATAAACAAAACAGCGTTAGGAAGCTTAGAGCTTACACAAACTGTCGGCACTGATTTGTCACTCCCTGTCTCCTCTGCAGCTGTCAGCAGGCAAGGTGAAGATTCGAGTGCTGAAGGATGAACCACTGACAGGTGAGTAGTTTACAGATACAGTCTGGGCTTCATCTGTGGGTTACCTGCGCCAGGTAGCCTTAACACGGATGTGTACCCAAAAAACGCTGGTGCTTTGATACACTACCCTGTACGGAAATCCTTTCTACCCTTCACATGGAGGTTAGCATTCAAGAGCAGCTACAGCACAGAGCAGCACCCTGGGAACCGGTAAAGGTTCAGTGTCTTGCTCACTGTTACTTCAGTAGAGTGGATCCTTGCCATCACAGAGGCCAGACTGTGGAGTTCGCTTGTTAAAGATTGATCTGTGTAACCAGTAGCCAACCTTGGCAGAATTCTTAATGTTTTGAACACGCCTGAGGCACACAATGCCACCTTGAATCAGAATGTTTCCAAATGATGCGCTGATATATGTTAAATGTATACAGCCTTAGTGAATGCACTATAAGTTCTGGCTTTGGTGTTTATAATTAGTCATAATCATAATAGGTGATATATTCTTATGTTTTGTTATTTACTATATAATACATTCCACAACAGTAGCTCAGAGATTTAAACTACTTGTATGTTAACGTGTTAATTGTTGATGTTCTGATTGTTTTAAGTTTGCTTTATACTGTACTGTGTATTTGACAATGTTGTTGGACTAGGCAGGTAGTCAGTAACATAAATAGCATTTAAATGTCAAAGTATTAAATGAAATCCCCTTGTCAAATGTTAACAACAGCATACTTGATCTGTTTAGCCCCACCTCAGCCACCGCCTCCGCCGCCACCCATTGCTGTTGGTCTTCGGACGACAAGAAGAAACAGGCTGAAGGGAAAATCCTGTGGACAATGTGAAGTCAAGACTGCTGAACTAGTATGTACACAGACAGACACAGACACAGACACAGACACACGAAAGACATAATTTAAACTGACATATTTGTAACTCCAGTGTTGTGCAGTTGAAGAATTTCCTATCCTCTGGATAGAAACTCAGCTCAGTAACTCTCATCAAACCGGACAAAAAAGACACCACCATCCTCTGGAGGCATGACTTTTGAGGTCTCTGATAAGACAAAACAAATCTGCCTTTTTTGAGGGATCAAATGTCACTAATTGACAAATCATTTCGCCATCTTGTTTATTTTACTACTATGTGCACTTAAAAACACCAAGGGGCAGATGTATAAGTGATATATATTCACAGAAACCAGGCATACATCATTTACCACACATGCATACATTTATAGAAGAAGACGAGTGAGGGGAGAATGTATGCATCAACCAGACCTCAGACCAGGCGCACTAGAGACAGCTGCAGATACGATGAAGTGGAGAAAGTGAGATGTGTATTAGTATAACATTGTTTGTTTAGTTATTTGCCAATTTCACTGAGTGTGTCACTATTTTTGCACTCCCCACAGCGTTTTGTAAAATTTTCAATCATATTAAAAAACGTATTTACGAATGAAGAATTTTATCATTTATTTGCATTCGCCATCATTTCCTCTTTATGATGTTTATAATTTCGTCCTGAGTTGTGAGGCACTTTGTTAAGCCTGTTTAAATATGAGCTCTATAGATTAACTAGATTAGATTTATATCACATGTATCCGGTGTGCAGATGTGATGATTGTATGGGCGCTATAAATAAGCACAGCTGTGTTTAACGGTTGGACATAAAGACAGCTATTCTGGTGCTGTTGCAGAACAGGTGCAACACAATCGGTGACATTGCACTTCTTCTTTGCCGTTCTGTTTATTTATTTCAGTTTCATTCATCTGGCCCCAGGAGTAAAATGACTTGACCTGCACACACAGATAAAACTCTGATTTTCTGATTTTCTGTCTCTCTCTTGCCCCTCTTTTTTTTCTACCTGTCCATCACCCTCCATCTCTCTGTTTATGGTGCTTTACGGTCCTCTTCCCCCCTCTGTATCCTTCTATGTTTCTTCATTCTCTTCTTCCTGTATCAGCTTTTTTCTCCCTCTGTCATCAAGATGCCTGTTATCTTTATCCTCTCCTCCTATGTGTTTACCATCTTTCTTTCTCTCTTTCTTTCTTTCTTTCTTTCTTTCTTTCTTTCTTTCTTTCTCACTCTTTAACACATTTTCTCTTTCTACCCTTTTCACTCTGCCATATCCCTGTCCATCATGTTTATCTGTCCTTTCTTCACCTCTCCCTATCTCTCTCTACCTCTCCCTCTCTCTGCTGTCCTATCTGTTGGTCTATCTGTGTGTTTGTGTTTGCAGTGATAATAGTTTAGCTGGATCTGTTCATCGATACTTGAGACCTCTGAGGGCACCATTGTTTATTCTTTCTCGCTCTTCATCCACTATTGCTCAGGAGGAGGGACCGTGGCTGGCAACTGTATGTGTGTATAAGAGGGAGGGAGGGAGAGAGAGAGAGAGAGAGAGAGAGAGAGAGAGAGAGAGAGAGAGAGAGAGAGAAATCCTGGAGAAAGCCACAGTGTGTGTGCGTTTCTGTCCGTACATGTGTGTATCATGAAAGTGACCTGAGTAATACATGCTTGATGACCAGTCACTAGCACATCCCCGTCTTCTAGATCCTCAGCTACTTGTGTGTAATTCCGATCCCATGTCAGCAGATTTTTAGTATTGAATAACCAATGCCTCACAGTGAGAAAGAGAACCAGAGCAATGAGGGACACAGCGAGATTGATAGAGGGAATGAAGGAGAGGGAGGGGTTTGACTGATTGAGCTGACAGCCACCATTTTTCTGCCCTTTTTGTTGTGGAATAACTTATTTTAAGGGCAGCACACACATTGCGTTAAAATGTAATGTGGTAATTTGCTTGATAGTGCATTTGATGATGATGGTGCTGAATTGTCCAATGAAGGACCCAGTGCCCCCAATGCCCCATAGTGATGGGCTTAATGGCAATGCTTGTAGTAGTCTGGGCAAACGCATAGGATAAAAACACACACACACACAGACACAGATACACACAATCCACTCAGGCACACATACACACACGTTTTGGATAGCCCCTGTGCCCTATAATGATGGCAATAATGGGAAGCGTTACGACTCTGTCTCTGCAATTCTGTCTGGAACTGCACTTAAGCACACAAAAGCACACGCGCACATGCTCACACAAATGCACAATCATATAGACATCTGGGCTTGTTTTAAACTATGACTCACACATACTGGCCAGACTACCAAAATCACATGTGCGCGGACCCACACACACACACACTGCATGCCTAGCCTTGTGCTGTAATCCAGAGTCATCCAGGCAAAAAAAGGATCTCATTTCCTTCTGCATAGCACTGGAGAGCGCAGTGATATGCCGCTTGCAGCCTGATAGGGATGCGTAGTCCCTGGGGAGTGGCTGTAATTTATCCTCAGGCCTGAAAGGGGGAAATGAGGCCCTGCTTTATGGGACCATTAAATGGCAATGTCGCAGCTTTAGGATTGTATGTGCACGCTCACACACAAACACACACAGTAACATACTGATATGTGTGAGAAAGAAGTAAGGGGCAAAAAAAAATTAACACTGTGTTGCGAATAAATGCATTTATTAATACATAACAAATAACTAAAAGGGTAGAAGAAGAGATAAAAGAGTAAAAAGAAAGGAGCAGGAGCAATTGGCAAATCTGCTCCCTGTTGATCCACAAAAAAAATTGTATGGAACAGTGAATTGTTTTGTTTATAGTGTTTCCTTGTTTAACTCAGTTATCTATAAGCAATGACGAAACAGGTGAAGAAGTAGCAAATATGGAAGTGAACAAGAAAGAGACTAAGATGCAATGTTGTAAGTCGTTAGATCCAGAAGTATATCACACAGTTACAAAAGACAAACAGTTAAAGCCCCACTTCAAAGTACAACCTGCACTGTTCCCTCAGAGAGCGCACTTATGTATACTTTCTGAATTTGACATGGTATTGATGATGAAACCATGGGCCATAACGAAAAAAATTAACCTGCATGTCTAATGAAGGCAACCAAACAAATGGTGGCTGTTTGTTTATTGTTTGTTGTTTCTTGAATTTTAAGAAGCCATGGTCCCTTTCTGTCTCCTTCCCTCCCTTCCACATATCCTCCCTTCTCATTGGCTTTCTCCACTCCTTCTGTCCTCGCCTGTGTGCTCCGTCCACCCAGCCTAGGCGTATCTCCCCAACCTGCTGATGCAAGGACTTTTCCGCACTAATAAGACTGGATTCTCATAGATAGATATGATAATGACCTCCCTTAAGATGCATTCACTCTCTCTCTCACACACACACACACACACACACACACACACACACACACACACACACACACACACACACACACACACACACACACACTCTCTCTCTTCTCTCTCTTTCTCTCTCTCTCTCACACACACACACACAAGCACTCTCTCAAATGCACACAAAAACAGTCGCGCACACACACCTTGCAGCATCTTGCCAGAGAATCCATTTCAATATTCATCCCTCCTGTCAAAGTTTGTTTGGCAAGGTTGAGGTTAGAGGAAAGGAACAGATATCCGGCTTTAGGTTTAAATCTTCAACAAATATTATTTAAGCTTCTGCTTGTCAGTGCAGATAGTTGACTTGACAGATAGCACATGCACATACTGTACATGCACATTACACGATCACTCTTTTTTAATTGTCTGCTTCCTTGAGACACATCAACACACAAATCTTCACATTCATCTCTTTCGCACACACGCGAACACACACTGACTTCACCGTGTATCTCTTGTTTCTGTTATTGTAGATGTGTGCTGAATGCACAGAAGACTACTGCGTTGGCTGCTTTGCCAAATTTCACCAGAAGGGGGCACTGAAGCTCCACAGAATGATCCCCATTCAGGTGAGCATGGTCCCACGTGCATCTAGTCTATCTCCTCTCCTCTCTGTGCCTGTGTCTGTGTCTGTTTCTCTCTGTCTCTCTTTCTCTTTCACAGATACTTTCAATAATACCTGTCCTGATCCTATTCTTCTTCTGCTTTACTCATTCTTTCTCTTGCATTTCTTGCATCTCTGGCTACAGTAACTACTTATCTCAACCACTCTTCTTTTTTCCCCTTTCTCTGTTTCTGAAGCCATCTCACAGTTTTGTATGTGCGTGTGCACATACACACAAAATAACTGGAAGGAAAGGCTGCATTGTCTGGATATGTGTGTGTGTGTGTGTGTGTTGTGCTGTTGCAGGTTTGCTGTGTCCTCCTACCGAACCACAAAATGGATGTCCCTCATTAGCAAATGCCTTGATCTCAAAAGCTCATTCCGGTCACTTATATATATACACACACACACACACACACACACACACACACATACACACACCACACATATACACATACTAAGATCCAATCACACACTCACATTGTGACAGAGAACAGAGAACAGGCCTCAGGCAGCAGTCAACCCAAGACCAGCAACAGCAGTGCTCAGTCAAAGATAAAACCGAGAGACAAGACAGCAGGTCAATGGCAGACAGTTTAATTAAGCCGACACACTTGTGTTGGATCCACAAAATGGAAAAAGATTCTGCAGTACATCTGCCTGGAACATATCTAGTAATTAACTAATTGTGACTACCTAAAACGAGTCAAGGATAACAATTGTAAAGATTCTAATCCATTCACTAAGTTAAAAAATAGATACGTAAAAGTAGGCAGTTGACTCATCTGCTGGACTTTTTGGAACTATATGTTGTTGCTGGATATTGCATGAAAGCAATACTATTTTTACTTACTATATACTATATACTATTACTTACTATAATTAAATGTACGTTTTGTGTACATTGTCATTAGAAAGATGTCAAAAAATTGTGACAGATCTGTAGACACTAATCTTGCAACACACTTGCAATTCTCAAACCCTTTCAGTCAGCAGTTGTGTATGTAGATAACACAAATGCATGAACACACAGATCCCTATGCTGAAAATGTACACTGCACTGGGAATAGAATACAGGACACAAGATGCTGTAACCACACGTGCACAACACACAAACACACACACTCAAACAATGGATTGCAATGACCTATTAAAACAAATTTGTATGCAAAGCATTTTTATTAGGAGAATCTCATTTTTCCAAAGCTATTCTCATAATAAAATAGAGTATGCTGTACTGTTTAAACAACCTTTATGGATTTTTAAATATTTACAATGGATGTCATTTTACATTGTGATATTTATAAATTAAATTTAATCATGTGAAAATGGGATGTTAAGTAGATATTGCTCTTATGTGCAGTTTTCATAGCAGTATTTGTGTTTGTTGCTACAGATATGAATTTTTTAACCAACTAGTCAACATACTGTTGCCTAGTTGACAACACTAATGTATTGCCTTAAGTTCAATCAGGAGAGGTGAGTGAATGAAGTAAAGATGATTTTCATTGTAGCAGATGATATGTGATAATTAAGTCTTGACAGAAAGTCTTTGGCGCTTAGACTCTACAGGGAGACTTTATAATCGAGGGCCGTCTGCCCTGAACAGCAGAAAAATAAATCCCCCCATGGAGTCCAGACACTGGGGGTGGCTGATGGCTCTGCTAAGACTGATAGGCTGAAGAGGCTGATGAAATGATGAAGCAAAGCGAAGACTGGGCGGTGAATGGGGAGGGGCGCGCGTAACAGCAGCATGAGCGTACTAAAGGTAGAGAGATGACAAAGGCTAACAGTGTAGGTGTGTCGCTGTGCTAGTGGACCAGCTGATATCACAATTTACAGCCCCAGATGCTAACAGCAAGGACATTATGAGTGAATATGCGTGAGTCCATGGCAGAGGGTCTCACCTGAACCTCCGCTAGAGCTTCACCAGGCTTTTCTTCAAATTATCAGTGAGAAGAAAAAGTGAGTCTACTGATGTAACCAACCTGTTATGTGGACCTGCCATTGCTGCATATAACCGCAGTGACCCATCATATTATGGTCCTACCTGGCAGCAAGACCAAAGTGTTATGGTCTCCACTAGCTTTATCAATTGGTTGTAGTCATACAGGTTACCAGAGAAAAAAACACCTTTTGTAAAAGTCTTGCCATATTCAGCTCTGGAACTTTGGTAACTCGTGTTTTTTTGTTGTTACTTTGTTCTTATTGTGTTATTAAGGCATTTTTTCACTTTCTTTCAGTGTTCCTTCATGGCTACTGACTTGTGTTCATATTTGTGTGTGTGTGTGTGTGTGTGTGTGTGTGTGTGTGTGTGTGTGTGTGTGTGTGTGTGTGTGTGTGTGTGTGTATGTGTGGGTGTGCTGGTATCTATGTTTTATGTAGTTACTCCATGTTCTCTTGGCTTATGTACATCTTCTCCTTTTTTTCCCTCAGAGGATGTGTGTGATTTTGCAAGCTTCTTTTCCTGTTATTGTTTCCTTGGGTGCTATTATTTTCATCTAGAAGTACTCAGAAAGAGATTATGATATGATATGAAGTGCACTTTGTGAGTGTGCATGGATATGGTTGTGTGTACACCCTGTGATCTGTCAGTCAAAAGGTGTTTCTTTATGTGTAATAATGTGTGTTCTTGTGTTTATGTCTGTATTATTGGTGTGTTTGTGTAGCTACAGAAGCTTTTTATGTTTATATTTAAAACAGCAAACTGTTAACTAGCAGTGCAGCTCAGCTTATGTAGACATCTCTTTGTTTCTCATCTCAGTGTTCATGTGCTACCTGACTGCTGGTTGGGTCAACACACTGGTTAGCCGCTATGGTGGAACAAAGCCATACACGCTGACAAAGACAAAAAGTACACACATCGAAACAGCTCTGTGAAACCAGACAGGACAACACTCCTGTGTATCTCACTCACAGTTTTGAACTCATATATGCACGCTCTTATGCAATCACAAATGCAAAACTGTATTTTTTGAAGGACATAAAGACCAGGGATTATAGATGTGCAGCTGACACAGGCATCTCTCTCTCTCTCCTCTGCTAATCCTGTTTCATTTGCTTTGGAAAAAAATGAGAGAGGGAGAGACAGCGAATGAGAGTCGGAGAGACAAAAAGAATATTAATTTCATCGGTACGCTGTGTTAGGGCTTTCGTCAGGGCCTCATCAACTTGTGTTTTGCAGCCTCACACACACACAGACCTTGTTCAGTTAATGTTTGCAAGGCATTGTTGGTATTTGATGTAGCCTAACCTGTGTGGAGTACCGGATGGGTGTGTATGATGTATCAAAACAATTATGATGCTAGGTAATTTTTAGTCATACAGCAATATTTAAAAATTACATCAGCATATTTAATTGAGCTAATTCTTGTTGGAAACCCCCACTGATCACTCGCTCTTTTTCTCTCTGATCATATGAGAAGCCTTGGAGGCTTTGTGCAGCAAGAATGCTGTTTCTCTTGATGGCTTCAGCTGTTGCAGTGTTTGAAACTTCTTGCAATGCAAAGATTTTCCTTCAGAGGGTGTTAAGATGAGGAAAGTAATGTCCCTAGGCTTGTTGGATTGTTTGCAGACAAAGATTTGATTCTTAAAGATTTCATGGCCATGGGCAAGTTCCCTCCCACGAGATAGTGAATGAACTAATTCAACATATGGATGTGTCACTGACTGAGCTGCTCTCCGCTTTCATCACTGATGAGGCCAGAGATATTTCATTTCTTTGCCCGATTGGGCGTATACAGATTCATCCATCCATAATGACATTATTACCGTGTGCAACTGTTAAAAATCAGATGCGGAATCCATCACAGGCGTAAACAAAGAGCTCTTGATCAGAAGACATCAAACATATGATTGTGCTTCTGTCCTGCAGGGGGGAAATGTCTACATTGCCGAAAGAGGTAATGTTATTCCACAAAAGGCCTCCTTTAAATGTGGCATAGTGCGTATTTGTTTGACAGGTATCAGCACACACATAAAAGTTTCATGGATGAAACTACCAAGGACGCCACAAAGGTCCCTTATGGGGCTCATAAGAGTGATTTCATAGGATTAAGGTGATCCTAGAACTTTTCTGCATACTCAATAGGTTTCTTGTGTTCTGGGTAACAGGGCTAAATGTTCTTATACAGAACCATCCGGGAAATCATCAACAGACACTGTTTGGAAAAGGACAGGTACTTTCAAAAAACACTTAGGTGAGCGGATGAATCTGTGTATCACCGTCTGTCATGGGTGAACATCAACCAATCAGAACTATATAACATAGTCACTCTGACTGAAGAAGGTTGGGAGAAGAGTGAAAACAGATTTTCCCTTGAGAAAAACCTTGAATGCTGTTCTTTGTCAATAAATAAATACTTGCTAGCAGCATCTATGCATACCTCTTCAGCAGCCACAATTGTTATTTTCAAGCCAATAGTCAATTCTTACGCACGTCATCATACACACCTCCTGTTAAACCATGCCCGTAGCTCATGCAGTAGGTGCCAGTAATTCCTAATAAGAATAGCTGACTGGGATGAACCACTGTCGTGTGGACACAAGGACATTGCTTGAAGCCTCACAAGATGGATTCTCACATGATCTTGCGATTTTGTGATCTATACTGTCCAACGGCATTGCAAGGTTAAGAAAATGTATCATGAAAAATAATGCCTAGCTTCCTAGCTTAACCTAAAATCTATCTTTCTCTCAGCGTCTCAGTGTCTCCACATTTTCATGACTCTGCATTTGTTTGTGTGTTTCTGCTGGACACCTTCAAGGACAGGATGAAACTCTACAGATGGGTTAACCTCAGTAGCCCTACTGGTCTGTGGTGATTAATGGAACAGAATAATGAATTCAGCCTGTGGTAAAAAGAAAAGCAATCAGCTCTCATGTAGTGTGCTTCCCATTTTCTCTTGTCCATAAGTATGGAGATATCTGATCATCCTCTATGTAAAGAATTTCTTTCCTAGGAAAAAAAAAGGTTAAGTGTGTTATTGGGTGGAGTTTGTCAATAGATCAGTATTTGGTTAAAATGGGATGTAATGTAAAGCCAAAATACATGCATTGAGGTACCAGCTTGGTCATGTGATGTGCATTACCAGTGTCATTCTGCACAGGCTCTTTGTGGTTCCATTTACATAAAATAAAGGTGCATACGTTAACCATAAAATGGAGTTCATCATTGTGACTTTCAAGGTTATGCCAGTGATGTAGGTATGAGCACTTAAAATTATTAGGTTGTACCCTTTAAGTGGGGTTCATGGCAGCTGTCTATAGTGGTCTCATCTTATTGCCTCCATGCCATTAGTGCACATGAAGTAGAACTTGCTTGGTAATATACTTAATTATATAAATATTTTTGTAAAAATTGTGACTGATTCATCTCCTGTCTACAGTTTGACAATTCTGAGGCTTTGTTGTTGTTGATCACAAGCTGTAAGCTGTGGGGGTAACACTGAAGATCTACCATCACTCTTGTGGCTTTATTTTTCTGTAACAAAAAACACAGTATTGCCTTTCCAAAACTAGACAGTAACTGCTTTTTACTGCTAGACGGGCATAAAAGGTTTTTTATTCTAGTAATGTAAACATGAAACGGGATTGTGTAATCCTGTAAGGGTCTGATGTATTTGATGAAAGCTAGTTCCTCTGAAATGTTTCATCATTTCAGTCTCTAAAACTTAAAACTCAAAAAACAAGATTGCCTTGTGGAGCAATTTCTAGCCTTTGCATTTACTTTGATTAATAACTGCCAATTTTTAATTTTATGCAAAATTATCTTGTGCTTTTATACAATGTATGCAAATGGTTGTGTTTTTCAGTTAATTAAGAGTATTTCCTTTAAAGTGTATCACATCTCTCTCAACAACGTTGATCTAATCTCACAGACTACTGCATTCTTTTACAGGCAGACTTACAGACCCATGTGAGCACTCGAGATGTTGTCAGCTGCTTCCAGAAACAGATTAGCCCTAGCTCCCCTCCTGCTCTCAATCCCAGTCCCAATTCTAAACCCAGTCCCAGTCACACATTCACGTCTAATGGAATAACCAAACGAGGAAATCAGAGTCCAGAAAATGGAACAGAGGCTGTGGCAAAACCTATGCCGTTGCACCCTGATCCCAGCCAGGTAGGTGGTAATCTTTACTTTTAGTTATTTAGTCACACACACTACAGTAGTAGAGCTGCTGTATGCTGTATGTGATCAGGGAGTTTAGATGAAAAATGAAAGATGATGAAAAAAATATAATTATCTTCTCTTAAAAAGAAATCAAAGGCCGAGCGCCCGGTTAGCTCAGTCGGTAGAGCTGGCAACCCATATACAGAGTTGCTGCAGCGGCCTGCGTTCGAATCCGACCTGCGGCCCTTTGTTGCGTGTCATCCCCTCTCTCTCTGCCCCCCTTTCCTGTCTATCTTCAGCTGTCCCTGTCTAAGAAAGGCACGAAAAGGCCAAAAAAAGAAACTTTAAAAAGAAATGACAGGCTAGTAATAATAAGATGAGTCATTACTCTTGCTAAAAGTGCAGATGTCCTGCAAATGACACTTAACTCTGGGTATGTGGCCTATCTTGTGCTTCTTAGTGTTGTTCGATAACACAAGGGAAATGTGTGAACATCAGGTTCAATCTTTATCCAATACAGATTTGCAGTTTAGTAATTTTAAGCCAAAACTTCTATCTTCCAAATCTGCTGTTTGTGCTTCTATCAGATTTAATTGTTTATTAATTTTATATTAGGGAACAGTGCAGAATGCTTAATTAAAAATGTTACCCATAATTTGCAATTACAAGTTTAATCTTTTTCCACACTTTTTTTTTTACATTTTCAAAACTTTTAAATCATTAAAATACATTTGCTTTACTTTTAACAACAATTACACCAACAATTATTTAATAAAATGAGGCATATTTTCTGGTTATTGACTCATGCATGAAATTTCTCTCCATTTATGGTTCGCTTGCTGTGACAATACAGAAAAAACATGTCAAACAAGCCTTTGCGCTGTGTGTGTTTTACCTCTGCACCTTGTGAGTCAATTGGAAAAGACTTCAAACAAACCCTAATTGATGCTATATCCACGGGCTGTATCTACAGGCAGGCTTGTGAACCTCATGTACCTTTGGACTAAAAAATGCCCCCCAACAGTCTTAGTCTGGCAAAAACAGTTAGATTGACATTTCAGACTCTTTATACCACAGCGCTCAGTTGACCTTATTCACACAGCAGTCATTTTGAACAGTTGGGGTCTGAAGTTACTGAGAAGATCGGTATACTCTATATGTCAATCTAGTGTTCAACTTATATGTTCAGACTTTAGAAAACCAAGACCAAAGAAATGCCACCAAACCGAAAAGCAGCAACTCCAGCAACTGTCTGACATGGAAGTTCATATGTGTTAAATTGTGGTAATTAGTGTTAACAGCCTGCATATGTAAAAATATGAACCTACTGTACAGTTTACTGCTCCAGATTCTTAATATCTTCTTCTACTTGAGATGAGAAAACTACTGCTGAATGCCGGCAGATTTTTTTACTCGCTCAGTTTGACACTTAAGTATGTAATGTAATAAATTATTATAAAATATTTTACTTCTGATGAACATTATTCGGAAAAATTATTATACATCATTAAGAACTATACAGCCTTGAGCTCCTTCACACCGTTTGATGTTTTCTTGACAGTGTGAGTACAAACTGCAATTATTTTGTACATAATATTTTTTTTTTGCTTTTTTCACATTAATCCCAACCAAGCTATATTTTAGAGTTCTAATATGAAGGCAGTTTCCCCATTACTTTTTAATAGTGCATTAACAAATGTATAACCAAGGTCACAGCCAAACTTGTTTGCAAACTTCTGAGTTTTTCCTTGTCCTTGGTTGCAGAATCAGAAGACAATAGTGTGCCAGCATTAAAAATCTCATTAACTGTCCCTTCGGTTATTTTGCACTCATCAACAAATGAATATTTAGTCATTTAAAGGTAAAATACACAGGCATACAGATTCAGGTTTTCTCTGTTAGTGTGTCAGAAAACAAGTTTCCTTTTGTTGCAGGTGTTTCTCTTGAATTATGGAGGGGAGAAAAATGTGGAAATGATTGAGGAGGGGCTGAAAAGGAAGGATCAGAGGGAATTCCCCACCTGTCTTCTTAGAGGAGAGTACGATGAGGAGGAGTCTGCGAGATCTTTCCAGGAGGCTCTCAGTCAGTGGAGAGGAGAAAGGACTGATGGAACAGGAGAAGCTATGACTGAGGATGCAATGTGGACACCGGTCCGACCAGGTAAACACTGACATGTTTGCAGGAACACAGACATACGCATACACACACAATACCCATTTGTTACCATTTAGTTTAATCCTTTTGTTGGCAAGCATCCACATACCCACAAAATTTTTAATGTAACCAGTATTTTCTATGAGAATAATGAGGTAATAAGCCCCATCTTTCATTTTAATATTACTTTTTCTCATTATCCTCTCTTTCCACCCTCTTTCACTTTCACTCTATTCCTATCTTTATCTTTATGGGGAGTAGACAGAATATCTAACACGTGCAGTCTAGTACAATGCAATACAAGAACTTTACAACAAATAGTGCCTTTTGTTATACTATTATACCTTACCTTATATGTTGATATTTAATATATCCTCCTTCTCCTCTAGTACCCTATCCTCACTCTCCCCCCTTGTCAATCTTTCACCAGGCTGGAATGGTCTGTGGGGAAGCAAATGTGGGTGATAACTTTGAAGTGATTTGTCACAGTATGTAAACCCTTTCACATTACATGTAGTCATTTAATTAAGTGGAAGTAACACAAAAGTAACAGTAGCAAACCCCACTTCAAAGTCTTGCATTAAAAAGTACATATCCATAATGTTTGACACAACTGGTATCATATGTTGTAGATGGTCCAAATAGTGGTTAGTCTAATAGTTTATAAAGTGGAGTTCTGTATAGTTTTTTTCTGTGAATTTTTCCTTTGTTTTGTATGTAAAAGCTAACCCTCCAAAGTAACCATGGGTATCAGTTGAATATATAGAAGTGAAATATAGACTACGGTACCTCCCTCACAAGTTCAGTGCAGATACCTCAAAATCCTATGCATAAATACAGTAGTACTTGAGAAAATGTTTTCCATCTTTAAATGGTAAATGGACTGTACTTGTATAGCCTTTCTAGTCTTCCGACCACTCAAAGCGCTTTCACGCTACATGCCACAAACGCCCATTCACAAACATTCACAGTGATAGCAAAGGCTCATCACAAACAGAAACTAAATCATTCATACACTGACGCACAGCATCAGGAGCAATTTTGGGTTCAGTATCTTGCCCAAGGACACTTTCGATGTGCTGTGGGACGAGCCAGGGATCGAACCGCCATCCTTCTGATTAGTGGACAACCTGCTCTGACTCCTGAGCCACAGCTACCCCCTTTGCCCACTACATCCTTCACTTTTTAGTTTCCTCTCTCCTTCTTCCCTCCAATTTTCACCTACTCCTCAGAATTCCTGCACCCCCTCTCCCCATCTGTGCTCTGATCTGTTAAATCCTTATAGAAAGTGCTTACCACTGCAGTAGGAGGGTAATCCATGGCTGTTGCATATTGAGATAATGAGAGGAGTGTTAGGGGTGGCCCTACTCCACACCACAGCACTAATCACCTCGCCTGTGTGCATGCGTATGCGTACAAGCTCCACTGCGTCAGGCAATTTTTATGCCTCTTCACATATACAGTGTTCCTACGTGTGCGCATGTGCAACAATGTTGGTTTATGTGGGTGTGTATTATTAGCGCTATTATTCCAGGTTCTGTGTATATGTGTCTAGGTGTTTGTGCTTTTTATTAGGCCTCCTATTTTCTCTGTTTTACTGCTTGGACAGACTCTGCTCCTCTCTCGCTTCTCTCTGCTCTGCAAATTGCTGCTAGGCCCTCCAGCCCTAATTATTTCTGTCAGGCCAATGGCGCCCAGGCCCAATTTAAAGCCGCAACTATGGACTGCCAAAGTGTCTGGAGTACAATCATAACATTTCTTTTTCTTACCTCTATCTTTCCCTTTCTCTCATGCACTTACTATGTTCCCTTTGTATTGTGTACATCTTTTTCTTATTCCCAGGAGACTCTGTCCTGTCTGTTTGTGTTTTGGCACTTTTGGCGTCGTGACAAGGTGTTTTCTCACTTCTTGAGGGGAGGTGTTTTGAGGAAGGTGTTGAGAAGCTGGCATATGATGCTCTCCTGCTCCTTTTTCTACCTTTGTCTGACTCTTTCTTTGCTTTTGGCTATGTTTTCCCTCCCCCTTTCTCTCTTTCCTTAACTTTATTTTTGTGCGACCTCCCCCTCCCCATATTTCTCCAGTATCAGTGTCAGCGATGGCGACCCAGACTGACCTTGCTTCAGACAGAGGAGCTGAAGGACAAGGAAGAAGAAGAAGGGGGGGAGAAGATAGGGTACCTGTCACACTGGAGTTCACCAAAAACAGCCTTACCTACATGGACAGATTGCTTCTCAAGAAGCACCGCAGGTACACAGACAGACAGACAGACAGACAACAGTGTGCATGGCCCACACATACATATTCATTCAAATTAAAGAATGTAGGGGTTTCTGTCATTGGGTTTAGGCAATAGCTCCCAACAAATCAGTTTGGTTCAATAGCATTCTTTCCTTTAGAAAACATAGGTAACTTGCATTTGCAGGGAAAAACATGTCCTACGTAGGCAATATCTGTATATTGCGTGTTATGTACTAATATGATTATCATGCATTTTACAACAGCTTTTAATGTGACACAACCAATCAAAATTAAAGACAGCGATTATTCCTGTAATAATAACTGATTATTCCACTTTTACTTTGATGGTGTAGATTTGACATTTGTGAGAACATTTTTTCATATTTTACCTACTAAATACCACATACAAATAGTATGCACTGACAACAAAGTGTCTATACACTGTATTCATTCATGCAGTGTCTACTGATAAATAATTAACAAAATAAATAGACATTCTTAGGAAAACTTCAAAAGTCTTTCTTTTAACTTCAAGAAATGTCATGAACAACTCCTCAGTTTCTCCCTGCGGTTCCATTACCTTGATTTCCTGTTGTTCCCTTCCTGGTGCCAACTGATGTCTTTAGCTTTGCAATTGCTTCTTCACAAAATGGGATGATTTCCAAGTATTATTGTATGGACTACTTTTTCTTAGAGGGCCTAGAAGTAATGAACTTACTGTATTCATGCATTAGTCAGACTAAAATTGATTGAGTACTATAGGGAATGACAAGTTCCGACTGCGATGTAAGTGCTGAGTAGTGCAATGGATATTAGACATGAAGTCTGTCCGTATGACTGGAAATGACAGGGTACTTATTGTATGCTCAGAAATGAGCTAGGACGTCTGACTTGGTTTTATTGTTGGCATGTTGTGGGACAGGTGGATTTTCCCAAATTAATTGAAAGTAATTCTGTATTTGTTACTGTACATCTGAAAACTACAAGACAGTTTGTTGACATACAGATAAAACCTCCAGCTCTATCACCATACACAGTCCAGATGTTCTCATGCCCTGCATTGGTTTCTTAAGTTTGATGTATCAAGTGTAGTAATGTACACACTATTTTTGGAAACCATGATGATGTAATTTCAACTGCATCTATCAACTTTGAAGACTGCAGCAATGCCAAGGTAAATTTTTTTAAGACGTTGCATCACTGTGTCAATTTTACGTCTTTTCACAATCATGTCTACATGTGCCCATGAACGTCAGACAGTTGTAGTATACATGCCAACACTTGAACAAACCCATACAGAGGTCACTTGGTGACAACTGGTTGAGGTCGCTACTTTAACAACTGGGAAAATGTTATCTTTCTTGCCACTTCCATTACTGGGGACACAAATACGCCCATGTGTGCACTCACACATCACATTACATCACGCACACCCTCTCTTGCCACTGCGCATGCCTCTCTGTAGTCAACCTACATAAGCCACCAGTGTACAAAGCAGTTTCTCAGCACTTATTGTGCAGTAGACTGCCTGAGGGTCTGGCTTCAGCAGGTCCCATTATTACAGCCCTTTATTTAAGCGGCTCCTTTTGGGCTGAGTAGCCCACTGGAGAGCAGGCCAGAGTAGAGCAGAGTGCAGTTTTAGGCCCGCCGACTGCATGAGCTGGAATGCTCCAAGTCCCCAGCTGTAGCAGCCTTTAACTGTGGAATAGACTAGAGAGCCAATCTAGAGTGCAATAAGCCTGCAGCGGTGATGGTGACAGAGCTTAATGGAGAGACAGAGAGACTGCCTGGCAGAAAGAAAGAGTGGGAGGCTGAATTTTAACAAGCTTCTATAATAATGGGAAAGAGAGTGAAGTAAGGAGGGTGCGTGGAGCAGGAAGGAGTTTTAAAGAATTTGCTAAAAGTGCTCAGCTATATTAGATTCATAAACTCTATCACCTTGTTAGATTTGTAGATGCCCTGCAGGTTACAGAAAGCAAGCTTGCAACCAGGGGGGCATCAATCCTTTCCTTAGCTGGCTGGGCAGTGTGGGTGGGGTAAGTGAGTGCTCGCCCTTCCATCAAATGCCAGAGTCAAAGTATCTCTGATCAAGGCACTGAACCCTGAAATAAAAGTCTGCACAGACATAGAACTAAACTGGCTCTTACCTGCGTCTGTAAGAAGTGACCTGACTTGTACTGCCAAATTTAAAACCCAGATCTGGTCCGATGTGGCATTATGTTTTAGTTATTTCTTGTCAAAGGAATTACTCTAGTTTTTTTTTTTTTTTTACTAACACCTCAAAGTATAGGTCATCTACAGGGCATATGTGCTTACTTTAGAGACATAGAAAAGCCTTTCTATAAGTAAAAAAATTACCAATCTTGGAGACACCATATTAGGTCCACACAAAAAAGACACACAAAGCACACATGGTTTATAATAGGCATAGAACCAATATTGGCTTACTGAACAGGACTCCTATTGGGGTGATAATATTGCTACATGTCTGTGTAAGAAAAGAATATAGGCAGGCTGTTAGTTTAAAACAATCAGAGAAAAGGTCTTGCTTGAGCATACATACATAGATGCCAGGATGCTTCTAAATGTCCAGTGGATTGTCTCGTTTGTCCCTCATGCCCAATACTTTTACATTTGTTCTCCAGCAAGACTGTAGATCATCACTTCTTTCTGAGCTAGTTATTTTTTTTGGACTATAAACTGTCAACTGTGTTCTGAAGTACAGATAGGTCGGACAGGTCTGAAGCAGCTAATTTGACCTGTGCCATAGAGTTACTTAGAGCCAAAGTTTCAGCTTGGAGTACAGAAATAGAAGCCTGAATTGTTGGAGTAATGGTCAAAATACCACCTCTGATAGATGTGGTGACTTCCATAAAGCACTTTTGGCACAAATGTCAAATTTGATTGAGCTAACCCTCTGTCCGCAGGGCAAATATAACAGCAATAATGGTCCTTTTGAAGGGCTCATCTTTGTCAAATCCCCTTTGCTTTTACTTGGCTTTATTTTATTGCAGGGGCATCAAACGGGTATTTCCATTAGTCTAAGAGATATATAAATAATGCTTAAATCTAAATGAAATATTGTTTCTGATGAAGTATCATGAATAAAACTGACAAGCTAAGAAAGCACGTCTTACACATCACTTACACTAGAAGTGCAGCACCTCCCATTCACTTAATAATACAGTTCCATTAATTTGTCTGGAGTCTAGGTAGTTATAATGTATCTCACCTTCTCCCTTTTAGAGAGACTTATAAATTATTTTACTGTAAGGAAACTCACCTCTAGCTCTCCCTTACAGTGTGCAGGGTAATTTGGTAGGGATTCAAAATCCTTCCTCAAGAACACTTTACCAGTGTTGGTTTTTTGCACTGTGGATGTTTAAACCAGGCTCAGTTGGTTGAAGGTCTTGTCCTGTGCTCCGTCTTGTACTTTTTTCATGAATCTAAATAACTCAATAATATGTATAAGATATATTCTGTATTAGGATGGATTCAAACATGTATCTTAAAAATCCAAGACTAGAGGAGACCAGAAGAGCAATATGATTTTTTTTTCTGGCAAAAGCCTAAATGCAAACAGCCTAAGGCTAGTGAGGCTACTGCATGTAGAGTATTGTACGTAAGAGATGGATGGATGGATGGAGAAAAGGGATAAGAAATGGGATGTGAGGGACATGATTAAATATAACCCTCTGAGTACGTTAAATAGACAGAGAAAAGATAAACACTGCAAGGTCTGAGGATATGGAAAAGATATAAATTAACTTCCCCAGTCACCCCTTATGGGCAGCCTGGAGCTTCTCACAAAGTCTTTGTCACTGGCCGTGCACTTTGCCCAGATTAGACTAGGAAGGAGGGAATAGAGGTAAAGGGGGGGGGATAAGGGCAGTGCGGAGAACACAGGTATGTGATGTCTAACAAGTGAACAAAACCAGAAAGTATGAATGTATACATCAATTTGTGTCTTTATTCATTTAGTTCTTTTTTACTGATTAATGTTTGATTTTTTGTTTCTAGAACACCAATTGAAATGTATCATCCATCGTTGGCCACCGTTGGTACAGATTTAAACTCACTGACTAAAACAAACAATGAAGAAGAGACTGAAAGCAGCCTAACAGGTAATACACATGCATGCACGTACACACATACACATTTATGTCTGTGTGTCCATGAGCACCTTTTGACACTAAGATAGGATGCTGACATACAGCTTTGACAGCTGTGTGCTCGTGCTATGCACACCACCTTTCTGATGTACATACTCAAACAGGCTTTCAGACCAAACAAAGAAACAGCTAAGGACAGAGTAGTTTGACAGATGACCTACACAAACACAAACAAACACACACACACACACAGACACACACACACACACACACACACACACACACACACACACACACACACACACATACAAACACTCAATAGTAAAAGTAAAAAATCTCTCCCTCTCAGCGGGTCAGACGTATCAGTGCCTGCCCATCCATCCGTGGTGGTGTGACGGGTAATCACTGCCTGTGATTGTGTGGGCAGAAGGCCGTTAGAGGCAGCTCATGCCTGACAGGTTGCACTCTGCCTGGGTAAGGAATGGGGCAGGGAGAGTGGTGAGGTGGGGGTCGGCCTGTAGTCTGAAGCTCAGGGCCTGGAGCTCATCAGTCAGGGGAGTGTCCTGGCTGTCTGGCCCCCAGCCGAGGCTGTCAGGAGACGGGTAGACCACGGTTATCTCTCCCCTTCCAAACCTCTGGACCCTGGGGCTGTCAACTGCCTCTCATCACATTTATCAAGATTCACTCCAATCTCAACCTTGTTAGGATCTGCAAGTCCTTGCTTGCCCCCTTCCCCACAGCTGTCTATCTCAAATGGTTGAAAATCTTTGAGGTCAAAATGGTTCCCTGTGCTCCCAAAAGACATGTTTAATATGTGGGCAAGGCAACCACACAATTTTGACACAATAAATTGGAGTTTTTACTAATATTTCTTAGTAACTGGAGTATCCTTAAAGGACTAAGGTGCATATTATAAATAAACAATATCTCTTACAGCTCTCCACTGTGCCTGATCTAATAAATCAGAAATGCCTTAACAGCAGTCTAAAAAGTAACACTATACAGCTTTAAACAGCTCCTGTCTCCAAAGTATTACAACTTTTATAGATAGGCAGCTTTGTACTTTTTTCACTTCTTGCTCTCCCTGCCCAAGCATTTTTAATAATGTCTGCCATTCAACCACAGGTTGCACTTTAAATCCCATTCCAAACATTCAACACAGATCTCTTCCTGCATTCTGGTTGATACTTCAAACAAGCTACCTTGAAGAAGGACTTGATTACACAGGATTGAGCTTTAGGGGACTTTCTTGTTTCTTGCTAGACATACCAAAAACAGACATGAAGTTTAAGAATAACCTCTAGATACTTTATAATGGTTAGAAAGCCATTAGGGAACCAGAGTGTTTTGGTCAGATCTTGGTCTTTATGAGGCTGAAGGCTGAAAGTTCAGTGAGAGTCATTTACTTCAGAGAATTAGGCCATTTGTTCCAAACATTTAGTACAAAATGATCTGGTCTTGAGAGAGCTTATCAAAGTACAGTTTCTCAACCTTCTGTATCCCTTGACCCATTTCTTTTGTTGCAAAACTGTCATTAACCCAACATTAACCCAGAAAGTTGGCAGTATGTTATGAGAGTATGGTACACTGTTGAACACTGGGAGCGAAGGCTGGCCCAATCCAACAGACAAGCTACTGTAGGTCAAACTGCTGAAAAAGTTACTGCTGGTTCTGATAGAAAGGTGTCAGAACACACGTGCATCACAGTTTGTTGGTACGGGGCTGCGTAGTTGCAGACCAGTCAGGGTGCCCAGGTGGTCATACGCTACCCATGCTTTGTATGCACATTCCTTACATAGACAGTTTGAAATTACATGCAATTTAATGACATTATTGTTTACACAGTTTGCCTTTTACTCAACTCTCCCCATCCCCCCTTTAATGATTTTGTCATTATTGTACTATAACTTTTTATTGTTGATGTCTCTAATTTCCTTAGTATATTTTAATCATTTTACTTAATCCTGCTGTTATGATCAGCCTATGTCAGTTAAATGATAAATTGTAACTGTAGTATTGTTTTGTTTAATTAATTGAAGGTCAAGCTTGGGGTGCAAGACTGGAAAGTTTTGGGGGTGGGCTGCTACAGCTTATGCAACTTGCATATGTACTCACACCTCTTACCATATGCTTGAAGTAAGTTAGAGTTAGAGTCACACAAGTCATTGTTATCTCACATCACTGTAGCTTTCTCAAACTATTCATAATTAACATGGTTAATTTACTTCAGCTCTTAAATATAACCCATACTTGTCTGCTAAAAACACAGCTATTCACATCATGAATTTCATTTTCCTCTGCTCACAGTTTAATAATTGATATTCCATTGTTTCAGTGATATGCAGATGTGAGGAAGACAGCAGTGACTTTGGGAAATGTAGAGCTGTTCAGCAGCTGATAAACTATTCCTTCCACCTGTTTCAAACTTTTCTAACGCATGCCAATTACAACAGGTTGCAGAGTTTCTCCTCCCCTCCTGTCTTTGAATATGAAAGGGTGGGATATGTGTGAATAATAAAAGCTGTTTTCCGGCATCATGTGGGGAGCTCTCCCTTGTTTTAAATTCTCATTTTCCTGAGCTGTCAAACCCATGTGGTGATGTGATAGAAGGATTGTTAGTATGAGAGAGAGAGAGAGAGAGAGAGAGAGAGAGATGGGGAGATAGGGAGCTGGCACAGACAGGTAACCTGCAGTGCCTGAGCAGTGCTAGAAAGACATAGACTGATGACATTAGAAATAAAGAAAAAGAAAAAGATGTCAACATACAGTATATTATCTTATTATCTTTATTCCCAGGAAAAAAATACCATTTAGTATCATACATTATATTGTAAATATTATTATTATTATTATTTAATCGTATGTTTTATTTGCCTATCAAGGTAAGAGGTTGTATTCCTATATTATGTTTTGCTGCATAAATAACCTATAACCAACTGTATGGTGCTATAGATTACCACATTTGTCTGCTGTCCTTTGAGCAGCAGGGGTAGTGTCATCAGGAGGGAGGGTTCAGTCCCTGCTGTGTCGGCAACATCTTTCAACTGAAACAAGATAATATATTAATACAGACCGAATTGTGCAGCTCTGTATGACCCCGACCTCTGATCCAGGGAGGAGGAGGGTTTAAGAGAAGAAAATGTTCCTATTGGCATCAAGTATCGAGGCATGTCCACTGGCATCTTTCACTGGTAGAAAAGTGATAAGAAGAACTGGAAACAGCACTTGAAAATATGCCCAGGAGCACACATCTTTCTTTCTGTCTTTCTTTTTTTAAACTTTTTTACTTGGTTTGCGCCAACAATCACATTAACCAACTTTAATTGCCTGGCCATATTTTAATTAAAAGTGACAGTGCAGTACCTCTCTGAAAGCTTGAAGGTGGATGTATGAGGTGAAAAATGTAAAATAAATGAATCTGAAAAACAGATTTTATGTAGTTAAGTGTAATTCAACTGGTACATTTTTATCAAACAAAACATTAATAAAAACAAGTTTGATTTGATTCTCCTGTTTATCTTGCATCGTAGCTGCAGGGTCACCTTCACTTTTCACACAATTTCAGTGCCAACACCGAATGATTCATCATTAAGTGAATCTATACTTTATAAAATGATTTCATTTCTGTGATGCAATATGTTCTTCTTACAGCAGCTAAAAAAAAAAAGCCCTAAAAAAGATCATTCTAGAAAAAAATGGCTGCAGCCACCAAAAAAAACCAAACAAAAATAAATACCCTGAGTTCCTCTCATTGCAACACATAGCATTACTCTCTTGCCTTGTCTTGATTTGTGTGTATGTGTGTGCGTTTATAGCTCAGGAGGAGGATTTCCGTCGCTACTGTGCATCATTGTTTGCTGTCCCTGTCAGCAGGGGCAGAATTGAGCCTCAGATTACTACACCTGAATCGTGCCTCATCATAGAAGTCCTGGATGAGGTGAGACAGACTGAAGCATTTCATTTTAACAAAAAATGTTTTACTAACAGGAACACACACTGAATGTAGACGGCAAATGGGGGAGTAGACACACACATGCTCATTCACATGTGTGACAACACTGTTCTCCTTTGTTTTCTACAGGGACACAGAGACATTGATGGGGATTTTGTTGCTGAGCAGAGGACAGACAAAAACAGAATGTGAGCCTCAATTAAAAACAAGTATCTACTGTGACGTTATAGGTGCCTATTACATTCACACTGACCTGTGTGAACTGGCTAGGTCTGTCTAATAAGTAGACTGTAAGAAAGAACAAGGATTTCATTCACAAGGGACTTGTACAGGCAATTCTGAGAACTCTTGACTTACTAATCAAGGTTGACACTATATCCACTTATTATCAACCAAATGTTGTTCATCAGTTTTTCAGCATGTAGTCAAGAAATTGAGATCAAGCACACTGATTTTAAAGTAGATGTCTATTGGGAGGGGAATTTGCAGCTGAAATTATTTTTTTAAATGCCTGTGTAGAAGTTTCGTTTTAGACTCATGAGGTGACAAACAAAAATTTGTAAGTGAGGAGAGATGTGATTTATGAAAATTTCCAAGCAGCTGCTAAACAATCAGGTGAACAGCGGGTGTCCACTTGATTGAATTCCCTTTTTGTTCCTTTTGAGAAAAGGGAAAGGAAGATAATTATGATCAGATCCAGTCACCTTATCTCATATGATACATCTGGGCATGAATAGAAAGAGCTAGTGACACTAGTCGAGGAAGTCAACTGAAATCAGCTAAAGCTGTGTAACTAAGACTGTGCAACTAAACACAACTAAATATAATGTAAACAACCGAACTGTTGTGAAAACGTCCTTGAAACTGTGCGAAGTTCTGCAAACTCGTTTAGCTGTTGCGCCTGCATTTGCCGCGGCTTTTTAAAATGGCTCTGCTGCTTCTGCATAGATCAACCTACCCTCAAAGATTCACTCTGATTGGATTTCTTCCCAACTTGTCCCACAAGAAGAGTAGTTCTGATTGGATCTCTTCTCCATTTGTCCCTCCCTAACATTTTCGTCTCATTTTTATTTGTTGACTTAAGTGTCAGTTATATTTCGTCACAGTCTTCGTCATCATATCTGACTTTTTATTTAGTTTTTATTTAGTTTTCGTCTGTGAAAAAGGTTCGGTGACGAATATTTTTCGTCATACTCTTCGTCAACGAAATTAACACTGGTGGACATGGACTCTCTAATAAAGTCTTACATTCCCCACACAGGGTTCCCTCTGTTCAGCAGGTCCTCAGTAAGGGAAAAACTCTGGTGCCTCAAACAGCCTTCACCAGTGCTGGGTCCTCAAGAGTCAGACGTTTGTCTCCCAGTTCAACACAATCATACCAGCAGTCTAGAGCCCCAGCACAACCCAAAGCAGCTCAGAAGTCACATCTAACTAAACCTCAGACACAAGCAGAACACTCAAGGAAATGTAAGATGTGTGTTTTTTTATATTTATGAGTAAATGGGAAGTGCTTTCTCTAGTTATATTAACAGAGAAATGCCCCCTTTTTTAATTAATCTATCTATGTGGGGCAGTGACATGGACAGTCATGTCAATATTCATGTGACTAAAATTAATTGTAAAGAGGGTGAAGACTAAATAAAGAATTGTCTGTGGCTGTGTAACGTCCATTTAAAGTATGTTAGACTGTATTGTATGAAATGAGAATAAGTCAGTGTGGCCTCAGTTTCGTCAAGAACATACCAGGTGCATACTGTTGTAGTTTACACCTCAGTTGCGAAGGTTTATTTGATCAATGTATTGAATATTGGCCACAGAAAAATATTGGATGTTAGTTGTAAATCAGTATTGTGCACCTAGGCTTGCAGCTTAGTCCTAGTCAAGGACAAACCTAATAATCCCTTTACCGGTGAAAACCTCCCCTGTGTGTGTGTGTGTGTGTGTGTGTGTGTGGTTAATGAAAAATGTATGTGGCCACATGTCAGCAAAAGCAACTCATATTCTTATTGTTATTTGTGTTATCATTTACACAGCATCGTCCTCTAAAAGTAAGCCATCAGTATGCCCGACTGCTGAGACTCCAAGGACTTCAAAGACATCAATCAAGACACCAACTCCGACTTCACAAAAGCCCAATTGCTCTCCCACTGTCCATAAATCAAAACCTGACCATGGATCACCACGACTTTTGTCCTCTCCTTCATTACCACATTCCCAAACTGAGATCCCTAAATCATCACATGGCATCTCATTTCAGCCTGATGCCTTTCCTTTGGCTAGTGCCAGACCACCAATCCCAGAAGAGTATCCTTCCCCTTCTTCATCCATATCCTTTTCTCTTGGGTGTACGTTCACAGTCTCACCATCAGGCTCCACTGAAACAACCCTATTGCCAAAAGTTTACCAATCAACCCCATTACAAAAAGCCTCAGACTCATCTCCGTTACCAGAACAATGTCAATCTCCCAAGTTATTCCCAGAACCAATCTCATCACTGAAGCTTTCCCAACCCCCTCCTAGCAATCTGGAGTCTCCAAGGCAATCCCAATATTCCTTCTGTGACCCTGAGTCTCTCCTATCAGATGATCAACTCCAGCTGCCTCTGTCACATGTGTCCTACAGTCCAAACCCAATACCAAAATCTCTGGAACAAAGTCCACCTTTGAAAACCCTATCCTGTTCATCTCTACTTAAAGAGTCCCCTCCAGGTGCATATTCTAAACATAGGTCAACTCCAGCGAATGAAGATGCTCCAGTTTTTATGTCTTCTACCCCCATCTCTGGTGACCACGAATCATCTCTATCACCTCAGGATACACAGTGTATCCCATCTCTTCCACTACATCTCTTAAATGTCATCAAAAGTTCTCATTTAACTGTGAAAATGGAGGAGGAAGAGGAGCTATCAATAGGTAAGTGAACTGTAATGATGACATGTCTTTGTCTGTATGTGCGTGTGCACTGATGGTTTTGAAATGGTGACAAGAGTATCAATTAGACACACAAAGTTGACTTTTTTTGATAATGAAATGGTCACTAGTGGTTAGTAAGTTTATTATTTACTGGAGATGGGCTGGATAACTATTTTCATATATATCAAAAATTCTTTGAAGATTTCTTAGATATGAAAGGTGGCGATCAGTTTAAGATAATGAATATGATTTGGGGTGACAACTGATCGGACCAAGTTGGACTGGGTCTGTTCAACTTGGCTAGTTGGTTTTGACAGTCATCTACCACCACAACCCCAGTCGTTACTGACCAGTCATTCAGTGTGTCTCGTGTATTTACTGAGTTGTAAGGTTTATTCTCCTCTCTGACTGTCAAAGCCTGAAAAATCTGATAGAAACAATCTTTATGTGGGGTGTATCTAGTCTTCAGCTAGTCTGACTCAAGTTTAATCACTCTTGCATGCTTTTGTTGTTTTGTTATGGTTGTATCAGTTGTATCACACTTAAAAGTGGGGTATGTGATTCTACGTAATGGGATTGTAATCCAATCCACATTCAGCGAATATGTCCTCACGGTCTGCTAGCTTTCCACTCTGTGTGCACTGAAAAAAAATCAGATGGTTGAACACAGTCCTGGCTCTGTTAATAGGAAACAAACAAAGTGGATTGGACCAAAACACACAACACTAACTTGTTATTACAGCTATTCCTGCCCTCGGACATCCCGCTTACTTTTTAGTTTGCAGCTACTTTAGTGACAGTGTAACGTTATATCATGGTATTTGTTAATTTCTCCAGAATCGCTTACCCCACCTTTTAGCTTATTAACTGTACAATGCACCGCTACTCTGTGATGGTGATGTGGTTTGGACAGACCTACAGATCTCTAAGTGTGTAGCTATTTGGGGCAGTGACTACAACTGGAATATTAGGTACCACGCCTACTCCCTGTCACCGAGTACAGAAAAACAACCTCCTAGCTATTTACATAAATAGCAACACAAGCAATCAGAAATCAGTCCTCCTACATTCATATGCATGCCAATGATACAGTTCTTTGCTCAATTGGTCCCTCTTGAGATTCAGTTCTACATGAAAGATTCCTCATTATTCAAAAATAATTTGCCAATTTACACTTCATATAATTAACAACTCTAACTAAAATCATGTGATTTGGAAAGAGCATTCCCACCTCTACTCGACACTATATGAACATTTCTCATTGTATAGATCTTGAACCTGTCCAAGTGGGTATCTGGTATAATTTCACCCACTAGCAAGGAAAACGAAGGCAGTCTTTAATGTGAAAAAACGAAGGCAATTTGTTGTATTATGAACAGTATTATGAGAACAACACTATTATCGAGGCCTCTTTATCACTTAAATTCTTATTAAAACAAAAACTAAGTAAGTAAATTAAGTTCTTTTTACCTCGATGAAGGCCACTGGTGTAATAAAGATGAACACAACTTGAACCCAATGGCATACAAACAGAATGACACTAGACTGAAATGCGTTGGATTTCACATTCAAGTTTGAAATATTGACCCTCACCATTCAAGTTACAACTTACGAACATCTAATTCAACAGCCACCCACATATTCCAAAGTTTATCAGTGACTCAGCTTATTGTAATTTTTCCTCAAGTCAAGTGTGTGTGTATTTTTTATTTGTTATCTTACCAGGGTTATCTGTACTCTAAGGAGGCATGCATGAAATTAACCAAGTAACAAGGTCAAATAAGTTTGATGTAGATAAATTGTGCAGCTAAATCTTAAAGGCAGTATACTATGTCTGTACTGTATATGCCCATCCACTTAACATCCTTACTTTCCACTGCACTGCTACTGTTTTTACATACAGTATGAGCCCATCATATGGTATGTTTGGGGTAGTGTCTCCTACACTGATTTCATTCAATTTGCATTTCAGGAGTTATTTGGTGAGATTTTCAGACACTAAACAACAACTCCTGGGGACCAAGATTTGGGTAATACAAAAGAAAAAAAAAGTATTCATATTTATGGATGGGAAAGCACAGGTCTTTGCGGTAAAGTGATTCCTGATAGAACACTTACTGCCAGGGTACATTTTGCTTGAACACGATTCTCAATGGCCAGGCAGTTTATATGAATAAAATGCTTGTGGAGCTCAGCAGTAATGGTTTCCTTTTGTCAAAGCCAATTTAGATCCAACCATAAAAAGTGTTCTTTATTTTTTTAAATATCGATTAGGGTTTTAAGTAAATACCTGACATAATTCTGCAACAGTCAGGAAGGTAATTACTCTGTAAAGCATTGCCCTGAATTTCCTTAGTATGCAGCACACAGCACACACACACACACACACTAGGATTCACTGATGCAAATACAAATGTGCTTGTGTGTGTTGTGAAAGTGTGTGTATAGGGTATGGTTTGCTGAGGGCAAAACATCTGGGGATATTTTACTGTCACTTTAACATTATAAATCGTGCTAAAATCTTGGCTTTAAATAGAGAACCAAGGATAGAAAACTGTGAGGGCTGGCTTCACACTTCTGCCTCTCTTCCTCTATTCATCCATCATGTCTGTGTTTTCCCTCATCCTTTGCATCTTTCTCACCCTTCACTTCCTACAGCTCTTTGACCAATCTGACACTGAATGCCTGCTTTATCAGCTTATTAGAGCTTGATGCTTGTGTGGCAATGTCAAGGACACTTACATCATGTTTTAAAATTTTCATTGGATGTTAGAGATGAAAATGTTGCTTCAGTGATTCAAAGCATGATAAAGCAAGGACGGTCAATGTGTTCTTACTTTTCACCTTGAAAGTCACATTGTTTGAGCTATATAAATCTAATGGTATTTTTTTCAATTATTTCAGTCCAGTATACTGGAGCTTTGTACATATTGAATTATAATTGAAAGTAAACATTTATCCTAATACAGTAGTTCCCAACCTTTATTCTGAAGTGAAAACTTCTTAATAATCTTATTTTTTGACGGATCCAGCGTTTTCTTCTCCCTGAGGCCATTGTTTTATTAACTCTTGGGTTGTTCTAAGGGTGTACTTTTCTAATGCAAGACAAAGTTGTTTATCAGAGAGTGAAGGTTCTGTGTATATAGCTCGTGCTCTGGTCTTCACCGTGCCCTTATCCTGTGAGATTTAAAAAAAGGTTTATATCTTAAATAATAATCTAGGCTTTAAAAATAACAGTTTAACAACAGTGTTCTTCACAGAAATGTATGAAATGCTGACATATACTGTACGCACACTGAATATATTTTTTCAAATCAAGAAGGCCTCACAACCCCCCATGAAACATTGGCGACCCCTTGTGGGGGCCGGGACCCCCAAGTTGGGGACCAGTGCACTAAAACTATGTGTCTGTATTTTTTCAGAAGACAGTGGAGATGAAATGTCCAGTGATAGCCTGGGTCTGGCTCCAGATGAGGAAGACTCTTCAGACGAAGAAGCAGAGATGTGTGGATGTTTAACGAGAGGGCGATCTGGAGAAGAAGAGCAACGGAATACTGCCATACCTCATCTAGAAGAATCCTTTGTTCCTACAAATGCAGAAAGAAAAAAAGCTTTGCAGATGGATGAGCAAGAACAGCTGTCAGAACCATCCATGGTAACATGTTTCCATATTCCTACATGCTTTTTGCCTCTTGGAGGAAGAACCTTGGGCTAGAGAGCTGTAATAGCACCACTTTCTAGGGAGCACAAGGCTCTTGTTAGTAAAGGAATATTATGCAATTACAGGGCTCAGCTTTAAGTAAGATTTATTAAGTGTTTGCCAAGCTGACAAGCAGGCAACAATACAAAAAAAGATTTCACTTTAAACCACTGTAACTAACACTAGCCTACTAAATTTAATCTATAATTTAGTCCATATACAACCGTTGTTGGTGTACATCACTAAGATACTCGATAAAAGTTAGAATTCATACGGGTTGAAAAATATTTTATTACTAACACATGAATGAAATAATTGCCAAATAGGCTGTAACAGTTATATGCCAATACACTAAAGATTGTCTTTGAAGTAACTGGCTAATAAAATGAATAAATGGGCACGTTTTAGAAGTTTTAGAGAACCACTATAATTAGAGTGGACATAATCACTGCTAGAAGACTTCAACGACGTACAGTTAGAGTTTCTTATTGTAGCTGACCTGATCTCTTAGATAACATTTGAATCACACTAATTGCCTACAGAATTCATCTATAGCTCAGAGATACCTAAGGGAGTGGTGTTAAAGGTGCACACCATTGAGAAGAAAAGAGAAAACAGTGGATTTAAAAGACATCGCTTGAATGGTCCCAAATGACCTATCAGCCATTTAATGGTATGAATCCTTTATACTGTGACGGAGGAATTAAAAAAGAGAGGGGGAGGGAGGCTTTATTAAAAAAGAGGGAGCAAAATGCGGTTCATGATTGTGAAGATGGTGGTTATCTGTGGCCTCTGGATCTAAATCAAACTGCTCCTAAAAAGATTAGATCTTATTTTTCTTTCCAGCACTCCCTTGTCCTTCATGTATCTCTCATACTTTGTCTCACTCTCTTTGCTTTGGTCCATTTTGTGTCTCTTTCTATTCTCTTTCCCCTTTTCTTCTCCCCTTCCTCCTTTTTGTTTTACCTTTACCCTATAGTTCAGAATCAGAATCTGAATCAAGTTTATTGCCAAGTAAGATTTTACATGTACAAGGAATTTGCTTTGGTACGTTGTTGCACAAAAGATCACATACAAATATAGTAAAGATATAGATAAAGATAGAAAGATCTAAACTGTACAGGAAAGATATTTACAATTTGCAGGATAGAAAAACCAACGGGAGTGCATTAATGTAATGCATATATACAGGGTGGGTTTAAGAGTCAGAGTTAGTGGGGGTTCCGGGCCTTGTTAATTAGGCCAGCTGTAGACGGAAAGAAAGTTCAGGCATCTGTGGCATCCTTTTTGATATGTGAAGACATTGGTCCGCACAAAGACAAACTCCAATTTTTCCTGCTACGCAGTATCATTGTGTTTGGTCTCTTGCCATTTCATTGTTATGCCTTTCTTCTTTCTTTCGCCCTGTCTTCCTCTTGTCATTCTCCATCCTTGCTCCTTCCTCGCGTTTAGCAGCACTATTCCCACATGCCCTCCTTCCTATTTTCTCCTGGCCCATCTGCAGTGTCTTGCAGTGCTGTGGCTAGCATGCTAATGCATCAGATCTAATCTTAACTAAACTAAAAGCTTCCTCATTTTACCCCCGTCTCACAGGAGGACACTGGCACGGGAAGAACAGCTAACCCACCACACCGTTGTGAGATGCTCTCGCCAGCTCCAGGGGTTAATTAAAAATCTATTCATCAAGTGGAAACAAAGGAAACAGGGGGAGAAGGGAATAATCTCCAGTGAAAGACACTGGCTTATTAATATGCATTTACACAGTAGAAAATGGAAAAATATAAATTTTAACACACTTACCTATCTTAATAAAAGTTAAATTGATATTGAATTTCAGTTTGTCCTTTGAACGGATTTTGTTAGGATAAAAATGAAGCTCAAGCTGTGAGACCAAACTATTAATCCCTTATTCCCCTGTACTATCTTCATTGTATTTCCATGTCCCTCTCTTTACCCCCCAACACAACGCTAACCCTTGTATCCCCTCCTCAACTCGCTCCTTAATCTATTTATTCTTTCCATTTCTCTATTCCTCACTATCTCCCTCTGTGTTCCATTTCTCCATCTCATCCTTGCATGGTCTATTTTTCTTCCTTTCTTGTTCCCTTTTATACCACTTACCCCCTTCTTCCCTCCATCTCTCCTTCTCCCGCGTTCCTCCGTCTGTTTCCATATCCCCCTTAGGTGATGCACAAGCAGAGTGCTGGGTCTGGATCAGAGCAGTTCTGTGATCTTGATGGGTTTTCGCCCCTGGGTTTGGACATGAATTCTGGTCACTCCGACACACCAGAACACACACATTGTGACTCACTGCACACAAGGCAAACTTTCCCGTATGATTCAGACCCAACAGGTAGGTTAAAGAAGAGAGGTATTTTTAGATGTACGTGTATGTGTGCCAGAATTTTTATGCTTCTGTTTTATTGAGATTTTTTTCCTTTAAACTGGCTCATGTTTTCCTATAAACTACATCAGGAAGTGCCGTTGCTGTTTTTATGCTTCAAGAGATTAGATTGTGAAGATTACCTCTGTGTCCAACTTTTGCCTGGAGATACTTTCCAATTTGCAAGCGTTATTCATATCACAAAGGCCTCATAATAGGATTTAGAACAAATATGTAAAAATGTAGAGCTTACAAGAGAGATGAAAATGAGTTTTAAACCCAGAGGAGCGCTGGCTGCTTGGTGGAAAACGAGAGATGGGGGACAACACTGATAATTTACTACTGGTGGGTCCAAGGGGAGCTTTCCTGAGATGCCTTTTTATTTTCTGTGTGTATGTGTGCACGTCTTTGCCTGCACATGTTTCTAAGCCTGTGTGCTTCTTTTTACTTATGTTTAGTGCCTCCATTTTCTTAAACTGCTGGTGAACACAGGCACAAAAACAATCCATATTTCCTCACACAGACACATTCACAGACAACACAGCCTCCTTTTGTTCTTGTTTCTTTCCCAGCTGAAGGTGTAGATAATAATGCTTGTGTCCTTCACATGCACACAAAAGTTTGCTTTGACTTTACCTTTGTGACGAATGTTGAAAGGCATATGTTGTCAGTGCAATGTCATCTTTCTTATACAACCCCCCTGGAAACACATCGTTTAATCAGTCATTACTGTCCAGAAAACTACTGGAAAATGCACTTTACAAGATACACAAAGTCTAGTGCAGAACAACTTTGTATTTTCTTTTTGTATTTTAGTTATTCATGTTGTTAATAATTTTTATATATTTGATTATTACCCATCACTACCCTTTGCTGGTGAGAGAATGCATAGACATTTAATCCCATGGTTTTGTTTTTGTTCATCCTCCTCTTCTTTCATTGCTCTTTTCACCTTGAACTACACCAGACAAATACTGCTGTAACAAGATGGTTTCAGAACTTCTGACGTTGACTGTGTCTGGGTGTTAAAAAACATGTTCTATTTTCTCACACTAATGATTGGTAAACTGGCCATGTCTGTGAGGTGCTCAGACTGCCCAACAAGGCTGTTGGAAGTCTAGCCTCCACCTCCAAATTGCTTCAGAGTTAAAGTAATAACATTTGGATTGCAATAATTTATCTTGGTGCTCATTATACCTCGTACCCATGTCCAAGGCTGTCGAATTACATGCATTTCAAACAGCGGTCACTGTTTTGATCGAGCACGGATTTCTAATTCATACTTTGTGTGTTGAAGTAAAGTAAACTGCCACAGCCTGAAAGGATCTCATCAACCTTTTCCTTCATCGAGGCTTAAAGCCCAGATTTTCACTGTTTCGTTGACAAGCCTGCGTTAAATGAATGAGGTTGACAGTGAGAGACTCCCACAAGGGCACCACTACCCTCCTCGCACCATGCAGCCAGCCGCTCGTCAAACCCCGCACTGTCTCTGCCACCATCGTTAAAGCTCCAAAGTTAATGAGAGAGAAAGGTTAGAGAGGAGGAATATCACCTTGACAACACTCTGCACTCATTTATGTCCCTCCATCCCTCCATCTGTCTCCTCTCCTTTTTTTTCCCCAGCCAGGGCTGAGATCCAACAGGTTTTATATGTCTCCTGCTCTACCTTTCCACCTCTCTCTCCTTTCTGCTCTTACTCCCTGTCACCCGGTCAGTCAGAAAATGAGGTTGTTAGTGTGCAGTTTCTGTCTCATGTGCATCCAGTCGAAGAGAAAAAGAGAGAGAGAGAGAGAGAGAGAGAGAGAGAGACAGGCAGATAGACAGACAGGCTGGACAGTATTCTAACCTCCAAAGACATAGAGAGGGAGAGGGAGAGAGAGAGAGAGAGAGAGAGAGAGAGAAGAGAGATACAGACAGATGTATGGAGACACTAGCAGTAAGATATGGTGAAAAGCAGACAAACAGGTAGACACTCAAGTAGCAAGGGAATCAAAGACCTGCAGACAAATGGATAAAGAAACAGACAAAAGACCCTTGGTATCTTTGTATGCATTTTAGTCATTTTTGTATTTTCTTTTTTTTTCACACCCTCTCAATTTTCTTTGTGTGAGTTTGAAATTTTGCTGTCTGACTCTCGTCCTCCTTTCCTCTTTTCATTTGCTGCAGATTTAGACTAGTTAGTAGATTCTCCTCCAGTCAATAGTATTAATTGATTGGCTAACCACTGGAGAGAGAGAGAGAGAGAGAGAGAGAGAGAGAGAGAGAGAGAGAGAGAGAGAAGAAAACAGCAGTAATTGCATTGGCTGAACAGGCTTGTTAAGCAATATTGGTTTGGTACAGATGCTGCTGCTGAATGGACATGTGGATTATTGTATCAGATTTAATGGATATGTTGTGATTTGAAATTGCCACTCGTGTGGTAGACTCAAAAAAGAGGCTGACTGACAGCAATGCGTGAGGGTGAACCATGACCTAGTTTTACTTTTTAAATTGATAAACAGCCGTGGAAATGAATGACAATGTTCTATAATTCACACGGCAGCTTTCAGTCAGAGCCAAAAAAGTTATTCCATGCATTGGATCTATATGAAATCAAACACTGTTGGAGTTAGATTGCAAAGCAAATGCATTGCTATTTCCATTTGTTAGCCATATGTCTAACTGATAGCAGTGGGACTGTCTTCGGATTTCATTTATCATGTATCCAGATATTCCAAAGGTTTTTAGAGAATGTAAAGGGCAATAAAAGAACATGAAAGTGGATAGTGATGGGATGCCTTTTATACATTCTGCTGTATACATTATTTTTTAAACACATTTTGTATGACTTTTCTTTTCTACTTTCGTATGAGTTTTTTTATTTTACAACTCAGATTTGGTGTTGCCCCCTCTCCTAATCTTTCTCTCACTCTTTTAGGGTCAGAGGGTTACGAGCCAAGCAGCAGCCTCAGTATCTGCACTGAGGAACACCTGGTTTTCGAAATGATGAAGGACACCCACACGCAGCCAACTGGAATTCAAATTCACTCAACCAAACCCACCAGGAGAGGAGAAATATCAGAAAATGAACTAGGAACATCTGGTAGATGTATGTGTGTGTGTGTGTGTGTGTGTGTGTGTGTGTGTGTGTGTGTGTGTGTGTGTGTGTGCATGCTTGTGTGTCTATCTGTGTGAACACTATCAAACTCGCTGAACTCTAACTCTTACTTATTCTCTCATATACACAGAACTCTTATTCTATACAGAATTAACACACCTCATTTCTGCATATAGCCTCACTTTCTTGGCACTGAGTATGCAGGTTTCTTAAAGAGATTATACTGTATCACTCTCACAACACACACACACACACACACACACACACACGCACGCACACACGTCATATACACACGTACTGTGCACATGCTCAGGCAGGACTGGGAAACCGTCCAGGAATATGTCCAGTCATCACTTCCCTCGCTCAGACCCCAGAAACACTGCAGTAATCTGGTTGTGCTGATACACACACGCACACATTGATGCACACAGACACAAACACCTGAGAGACAAGACAATAATCTCTTTTGAATTCACAGGATCCACTTCCTCTCTCCCTCCTCACTCGTTTTACTGTAAGCTACTGCATTTAAATCTGATCACTTCATTCCGCTGCTCTGTTCTTTCTGCACAGTCAAGCCATTTAGCACTGCTGTCTGTTGTTTTCTTCATCAATCTTGTCCACTCTTTGTCATTTGTATGTGTTATTTCTCTCCTTACTCTATTTATTTGCAATTTGCCCTCTAAGGTAAATAGTTTGAGGCACTGAGGCCCAAATTGTGCTCACTTGCCTTCAGGTATACTTGTACTTGAAAGGAGGTCCGCACTTGTAAAACCTCTTGAGAGCGCAAAACCTTTTCAACATGTTTAATTATAGCATCAGAAGGACTCTCGAGTGCTCAACATGTTTTCAATATTTTTAATTCCACAAGGGAACTTAAGCACAGGCGTTTCGGCAAGTTGCTTCACTCAGTGTGCCTCATTGTACTGTCTTGTCAGTGTGACGCTCCAGTGTGCTGTGTGACAGCACTGTGAGGAGGGCTTCTCGCCCAAACATCTGTGTTTTGGCTCCCTTGTGCCATTAATGAATGTCTTGAAATAGTTTTGTACTCCAGTGCATCTGTGAGTGGGGAACTCCTTTTCAAGTTCACAGCATTTGGTTTACTATTTTAGTTTTTCGTTGGCTTCATTTTAGCTATGTGCATGGTGCATAGACCTTAGTTATAGCTGATGTTTTAATTAGTCATGGAAAAAGATACATATGTTACTGAATGCATCTTAATATGACTTACAGTGAATAATGAGCACATATAGTGCATGCAAAACGAGAAAGATTTAAATCTGACTTTCCCCGGGAACTCTTGAAGGAGGTCATTTAGAGAGATCAGATTTTAATCTCACTCTCAATTTACACTGAATGCATTTTAAATTGAGCACAGAGCTTTATCGGTAACCAAAATCGAGATAAATGTCGTATCTGATTTGAAATGGAAGTGAATTGAGTCTACGGGTATGTGTGAGTGCACGTGTGTCAACGGCACTGTACTGCACGCATCATTCCTCCCATGCTGCTTAGTTTGACAGTGCAGGTGGTTGTGAAGCACTAAGTGGAGGTTCTGTGCCAGCTGAAAGACAGAGCCAGGCGCTGAGAGGGGGGGGTGAGGTAAGGAGACAATGGAAGATTGAAAGAATGGAAGACTTAACACTGGAGCTGGTTAGACAGCACGCAGCATGAGGAATCAGTGTGCCGCTCACACACACACATGCACCCACGCCATCATAGCTTCTCAATGGGGGCCGCGATGTAATTTACAGTGAGCAGGTGGGGATGGATGTTCAATCTGATTCAATTTGATGTGGCTCGCAGTGGAGTGGGATGAGACACCACTCATTCCACTGACTGTTGTGATCGTTTCTCTGTCTCTCACCCTCTTTCCCTGAATCCCGAGCCGCATGCACCTCCCCTTTTTCCTGTCTTCTTCTGTCATCTCCTCTTATCTCTTTCTCCCACACTCATTCTCTGTAGCTGTTTTTGTAAGATATCTTTACTGTATATCCTCATATCCATAATTACATCTATTCATCTATCCTTCTGTACATTTATCCTTCTTCCATCTCATATCATATCTCTTTTTCTTTCTTATTCAGGGTCAGGGTCTCACCTGCCTGGCAAGTCCACGCCAACTCTCTCTCGGGTTCCTGCTGCCTGCTGCCTGCCCCGTCCCACATTGGGCTCAGACGTGGGTCCAGCATTTCGTCCGTTGTCCGGAGCAGCCCAGGAGATCATGGAGATCTGTAGTGTGGACCAGATGGGCTGTGAGGACCCTGACCTGGACACTGAGACAACTGCACACACAGTCCATGAACTGGAGCAGGAACTCAAACTCATGGCTAAGGGAGCAGACATACACATAGGTACATTTAGAAATCATGTATGCAAACACAGCATCATTGTATGGCCATCTCCGATCAACATATTACTCTGTATTTGATGTTTTATGTTAACGGTAGTACAAGAGTGAATATATGTTCATTTTAATCATGTTTGATGAATTTTGAGTGATTTTAAATGAAGGCCATAAGCATTAACTTATCCTAATATCTACCTCAGAAACAGGGAAACAGGCTTCAGAATTTGGTGCAGGAAACAGTGGAAGTCAAGAACAGCATGGAAATCATCACTTCACACGGTGAGTAACATGCACACACAAAATACTGCCATCCAAAAATGAGCGTCTCACATTGGCCCCTGCCCGCTTGCTCTGAGCAGGACGACAGATCAGCACTGTGTTGCTCCATGATAATATGGTGACTTTATTTGGCGAAGACACACCCATATTAGCTTCTATAAAATAAAAATAAAAATTGTTATTCTCATTTTTAACCAGCTGAGGTTGTATTCCAATTACTCATTAATGCCAGCAAGAAAAAATGAAAATTAATGAGTGATTCTTACAAGCTCTGTAATCCACAGCAGTTAGTAGTCTACACTGAAGGCCATTCCTTTACTCTGGTGACTCTCTTTACAGGCATCTGAAGGCAGCAGGTGTCTGTTCATCTGCAGTCTCTAATTGGGGTGATGTTGTCACTGTCAAAACACAATTACGCATGGCGGTTCCAATGGTTAAATTTTGTGCAACCAGCACCAGATAGTTTTAGAATAACCACGGAAACCTTCTACTGCAGAGTAAATCAACAGGTGTGTTGGAGACGGATGAAAACAACTCACACTGCTCCATTAACAATCGTAGATCAATTAAAATGTCTCTCTCCACTGATAACATCTGATAACAACAGTAACATCATGACTAGACGTGGGACTGTGATGACCAACATAGATTAGATAGACATTGTTTTAGTTTACATTTTATATTGGTCTTCCCAGAACCAACAGTGTGTTAAGTTTAAAATCCCAGTTTATTTGTGGGTCATTATCAGGATCAGGTTTATATTAATAATAGGCCGCATTTTAAATTCCGCTTTCATTGTACTAATGGCACTGTGGTATTGAACTGCCGATAGTTATTGTATGGATTAGTTTGCTAATAAATAAAATTGCGTACTATTAAACACAGAAGATATGATGACAGAAGGCTCTTCAACATGTCCAACAACAATAATTTTCTGTTCCACCCATTAGGACATTTGCATGTCCACTAGAACTTAGAGTTAGTAGCTGCAGCTTAGATAGCTGTTCACATTTCCATTCCAATTTCATATCCTGAAATGCAAATACGCTTTCTTTCCCCTGTGAGAATCTGAGTATAGTCTTGTAACTTCCGGTTTTCATACTGTTGTCTGTGTCTTTTCACCATGATCGGCATGTAATCCATTGCTTGCTTGCTCCCTACACTTCCCTACACTCCTCTACCATTCCAGTGGTCACCATGGGGGGTAATCCCTCCTTTTTTGTGCTCTGTCAATCCCCCTCTATGTCGGATATGTGGAGTGTGTAATGGATCGTTAGCCAGCAGAACGACTTTAGCTTTGACAGCATCTTGGGCATCAGGCCTTAATGTGCTTCTTAATGTGTGTGTGTGTGTATGAGACAGAGAGAGAGTGTCAATGTGTTTTTCTTGTATTTCTTGAAACTGAGTGTGTGGGTGTGTGTGTCTGTGCGTTGTTGATCTTTCACGCGCGTGTGTGTAGTGGGCATAATCTGCGCTAGAGGCCTTGTGCTGAGCAGAGCACTGTGAATATCACATTGAGACGTGTAATAACCGGATTAACACATACTACACAAAGAGGTTCTAAAAACAGCTCCTTACAACCTTCAAACACACACACACACACACACACACACACACACACACTCAGACATGCACACGTATACACTGATGCACTTAATCGGACTAGTTTGGCGTAGCTTTACAGGTAGCGTCTTTTGTTATCTTCGTCATTACTGTCACATTTCGTCCAGTCATGCACTTTTTGGTCAATGTGACAGTATTCAGTTCATACAAAATTCAAAAGTATAGGGTCCTTGAGATAAGAGGAACTTAACCATGCAATTATTTGGATCACAGCTGTAATATTACTTAAAACACTCACTGAAATAGAAAAATACAAACTTATTTTGGCAATGGATCCACCATTCTGTACCATAGAACAAATGTTTTGACTGAAATGAAACCAAAGTATGTAACTTGTATGTATATTTAATTCTTTTTTGTAAATGCAGTTTGTACAGTAAGATTGTTAAAGTCTTACTGCACCTTTAATATAGGTGTATACTGTACCATCCACAGAGGACCCTTCAGTTTAATGCCCCTCTCAGCCACCAGGTGCTCACAGAGGCAGTTGTTACTTTAATAGATAGCTGTTCCTTTAGACGAAGTTGACTGATGGCTGCAGTTGCATCATAGAGCAGATGCATGATAATGGAGTTGTGCTGTGTGAGTGGTCTCTGCTGCCCACCATCAAATAGAATAACAGTATAATCAGATCAAACTCGAGCGGCTTTATAATTTAGTCTTGTATAAAACATTTAAAATGTACATTTATTTTAGTGACTAATCCAGTAATAGGACATGTACGCTCTAAAGTACACCCACACAACACACAATTGAATGCTGTGACAAAGTGTATTACGTGCAGGATGTATACATCCATTGATGTCTTTGTCAGCTGACCTAGCCTGTGTTTACCTCATATCCAGACAACTATTCATCATCTATCTTTGCTCTGACTCAACTGCTTCCAGCTGCCTGTGCTTTACTGTTGCCTCAGTCTGTTGGCTGTCTTTGATCTAACCTTCAGTCAGTACGTAGGTGCACAGCAGTATCACATTAATATTTGGAAAATTGACTTAATCAAGACAAGACGAGAATATTCTGATGCACGCTTTATACAGTTCAGGATTTGCAATAATAATAAGGAAGCTTTAAATTGTTTGCACTTTAAGTCTAACTAACAAAATCTGTTTGGACATCTAACCCTCTATTATATATTGAATGTATGAGTCACTCATCAAATATCTGAGGAACATTTGTGGATGCCTTGATGACATGAAAAGACATTTAAAAGAAGGTTTTCTAATAAAACCCAGGCCACCGAATCTGTTGGAGGATCACTGCAGGCTGAGGCTGACACCAACAGAGCAACTCCTCTGGTATCCTGATCTGACACCAGCGTCATTGACATTGATATGCCTGCTGTCTTTATAGAATCCAAAGTTAATTTGGCCTTGTCATAGTTGAATGCAAACTGGGAGATGCTTCTCCTAAATTTCTCAATAAATAAAGTATGCAGGCCCATTGGTGCAGTTAATTGTACCTCCTCAATGCCAGGGTTTTATTGGTCAGAGCCTTCTTATTTATAATTTTCTACCTTTGTCCTCCTGTTCTTTAGAGGCAGGGACATTCCACAAGTCTCAAACAACTTGGATTTGTAGGTGAAGTCAATGCCGGATTCAGATTTGATAAAATCCTGTCAAACCGCGACCCTGGGGATGCCCAATGCAGATGACACACAAACTTTCAGCTGCTGCGCACATCTGAATATATCACAAATGTGTCCCCATGATTCGTCTGAAACAAATTCCAAAAGGCTTAGTGCATCTGTCCTTTAATCATAGGCTGGTTTTTGAGTGCTGTGTATGTAGGATGTTCTGACTTTGATTGGTGGATTTGGTCTTGCAGGGGCAGAGTCAGCGAGGAACAAAGGGATGAGGAGGCGGCTGCACAGAGAGACCAGCAGAGTGTCCTCTTACTACCCTGAGATATTTACATACACGCACATAAACACACACGCTTTTTAAATAACAACAAATCAGAAGACATGCACGTGTAGATACATGTCTATGACAGAGTAAAGCATGCAAAAACACGTCATTTTAAATTGTGTTCCAGTGAGGTGAAGACCCCTAAGACTGAATCTTGTGCAGATAGATGAAAATAAAAATGTGTTGCTTTGAAAAAAACAAAACATTGCTGAATATTGATTAAATATTATTGTGATTGAGTTATGGTTTGTCTCACTTTTTGCATTTGCCCATGTTTTTTCTTGTGAACAATGTTTATGCTGTGTGTGCTGCGAGATACATGCTTGTCGAAGGTATGAAGCCAACGATGAGACAGGCAAAGGATGAGGACAGGAGGGGAGGGAAGATAAACGGTGAGTTAGGTTTAATTCTCAGCAGTAGTCTACTTTTGTGTTTGTCAGCGTGTGTACATGAGTGTGTGTTAAATGACAGTCGGCTGCTGTGCCAATTCAACCTACAGGAGTTGAACGCACAACATTTTTCTCTGTGGTGATCAGTTTGTTTCTTAATAAGGTTAGGGTGGCACTGGATCAGGTCAGCTTGTCTACACACACACACACATTCACACACACTAAAGAGGCTGCTGCAGGTGATAAATTATGTTTTTGGGAGGGAATAAGGAACCGTGCCAATGGCCGCTGCTGCCATCTGTGTGTGTGCAGGAGTGGGGGGAAGATAAACACCAGGCACTGGAACTGGTTTGTCTCTGTGGTGAATGTGTACATGTACTGTTGGTGTGTTTTTTTCTCAGTTGTGCCGTTTTGCATTACACCCCACAGCCAGTCTTAACATATCATGGCTGCCACTGTCCTCAGATGAGTTCACAACCCACCATCCACTACTTTATCTCTGGCCAATGGGCATGTGAGGATCAAACAAGGACACAAGGAGAAAATCACGCCGTTATTACACAACACACACAAGGTAGAATGGATGTCAAAGATGGCAACTTTGTGATTGCATTTAAGATTAAGGTTCATTTGTGCACTGCATGTGGTTATGTGTGTGAATATGAGTGTGAGCGCACGTGGCCTCTGCTCTTTACTTCAGTCACTGCGGAGGGATATAAGGGTATTTTATTTGTCCTGACGTTAATCGCTAGAAGCGGACAGCAAAAGCCCTGTAATCCAACAGCAATCACCACAAGACTGATTGATAGCACAGGGACAGGGAGAGATAGACAGAGAGACCAAGCGATAGACAAGGAGAGAGAGAGGTGAAGAGGTAGATCTTTGTTATTGTGTCCTTCACTGAGTTTATCACTTACTGTTTAGGAGAGGAAAATAACAGAGACATAAATCTGATGGATATCGAACCGCTAGGCCGGGTTTAAACAACTCTGAGATCTGCACTCGCTCTCTCTCTCTAGCTCTCATTCTTCCTCATTCTCTCTCTCACCCACATTCACACGCTCATGCATACAAACAGGGAAAGAGAACTGAAAAAGAGAGCTGACCTTTTTTTGATTTGGAGTCGTCTGTGATGTTGTTGATGCTGTTAGAAAGACAGTGAAACCGGAGGAGTTGACATTTAACTCCACTATATTAACTGACCCTTCTCCGGAACTGGAGTTCAGACTGGGTGTGTTGCAAAAAACAAAACAAAAACAGACAGATAAATACGCTCAGTTATAAACTAAGTTTTTGTTTTGTTCTCGGGTGAATTTTGTAAACTTTTTCCTTCCAGTGAATTTTAAGAGAAATCTTGTACCTTTTTCATTTTAAACAACACAGCGGACATTGGTGGCAAATCTAATAGAAGAGTGCGGTTCCATTTTTCCCGTCTCCGTCTCCCCAAGAGTCGCTGTCATTTTTACCATATTAGTTATTTTGGTTTTCATGGGTTTTGGCATTTTCTTCCACAGCAAGGTACACGGTGGAAACATTTTGTTCTGCCTCTGGCTGCCTGTCCACTTGTTTTCTGATGAAAACCCATTCGATTTCTCACCCAGAATGCCCTGAAAGGACTCCCTTGTTCACAGAGTCTCACAAGTCACCTACAGTGAGCTGCAAAGGACAGCAGCTGCATCCATGTGTGACAACTTGATCACACAAATAACCTGAAAGGGGTAAAATGGAACAAAGGGTTACACCCAATGTAGAAAAGAGTTGTTTTCCCTACTCGTTCTTCACCTTTTAGCCTCAGTCATGGGAATTCTCTGTTAATATTTTACTGCACATACTTAGTAGTAGTAGTAGTCTTCTGTCCTTTATATGTTATGTGTATTCTATAGCATCCCTGTCACTAAACTACTAGTAAAGGGTTTTGCCAAGTATGTTTTGGATTAAACATTTACACTCTCTAATAATGTGATTCTGATAAGGGAAGTGAGGTTTAGGCTACAGATTTTTTTGATTAAGATGAGGGAAAGATTGTGGTTTTAGTTAAAAACAACCTGTCTTGAGATATATAACCTTAACCAGCTGCTTTGATTTGCCTAAATGTGACCATAAAGCGTTTATCGTGCTTTAGTTGCCACAAATGAATATTGAATAAAATGTTTATTTATTAAAGTTTCCCTATCATTGTCAGGCAGGTGAGTGTGAGGCAGCGGAAGGACCCAAATGCAGATGGTCCAGGCAGTTAGGCAGACAGAAACTACAATGATCTGACAACCTACTGGGTAAAAAGGGGCTGGTGTACGTACTGCAGGGCTCATCAGGTGCAGCTCGGGAGATGGACGGGGAAGCTCAGGCAACTGCAGAGCAGATGAGGGAATTGGGAACAGGTGTGGAGATGGCTGGGTCAGCCAGTTGATGGGGAAAGGAGGAAAGGTCATCTGGTGGATGGAAGGAGAATGGTAATGGTTTGTGGTTGTGGGAATGTACGTAGTAGTAGAAATAAGTAGTATACAAACTTAAATCTTGTGATATGTTTACATGACCACACCAGCATCTAAATGGACCGAACCAAGTGCTGTTTGCAGGTAAGTTTACAAGCTTTCTAATGGGCTTCAGTCGGGGAGCAAAATGAACTTTTTTTCCCACCTGAAGTGAATGTAAATTTTTTACCAGCCATTGTTTTTTTTTGTTTGTTTTTTTTTTACTGGTGGGTGAAGAAAATCTATCAGCCACATTCTTATTGTACCAGCATTGGGCTTGTGATAATATTGTGGCCTGGCTGCAACTGAGAAGCTAATTAGCTAACTAGCTTGCATTAGCAATGAGCTTTTCCTCTGTGAATGTGTGTTTGGACACTCTTTCAACCAGCTAAGGTTCAGGACAGGATGTTTGTAATTTAGATAATAAGGAGGCTTGAACAGGAGAGCTAATATGGGCTATTCAAAGTCTGTGGCTCTTGTGTTGTAAAGCAGGCTGCTGTCGGATTCTCCAAAGATAGATAAACATTCTCATTAATGCAAAAAATGGGGGGCACCCTTATTAAACAAAAAAATGGGGGAAAAAAATATTCCTTTTAAATTTCTCACAGGAATTTATGTACCAAATATTAATGCTGTCGTGAAACGCCCAGATCTATATTTGAGCATTTAAAATAAGAAAAAGATGATGTTACAAGAATCAAACTGGCAGAGAATACTACATTTACTACAGTGTCACTGTATAAATGATCACCAGTTCTGGTTATATGTGTGTGTTCATGTATAGGTACAGATACCGTTGACCTTGACAACACAACAAGACTGAAGCATACGCCATCAATCCTTTCATATTTTACCTGCACGCCTCTTCAAGTGCTATCTACATCGTTGTATGAATGACTGGCTTTTTTCCGTCTATGGTTGTCAGGTTGGAGGCATATTTGCCGTGGATGTGCCATCTAATCATGTCCCATGTTGTCTATTGGAGCCCTGCTGCCTCATTACAGGAGAAGGAGAATACGTGTCTGTCATCTGTGAAACATAAAAAGCCTTGTAGCTACTTAGTTTGTGCCGGCTGCCGTATGCGTCTACCCTGTTATTCCTACTTCTGTATAGATGTTGCTGCAAAGTGTAACTCTGATGTGGGATGCCTTTGGCAAATGGTGAAAGATAATAATGGGATATCTTGTTTGTGCATGTATGAAGGCCACATATGGCCTCATAAAAAAAAATATTCTGCGAGCATGAGCTCAGTTATCTTGCTGTTTAGATGGATAGATACATTAAATTGTCTCAAGCCAGCTATACTGTTTTATTACACCAGAGCCCAAAGGATTCCATATTTCTCTTATTTTAATAAACCCAAATCCCTGTTTCGTGGACATATAGTGGTATTATACGTCCCTGACGATCTCCCTACGGCGTAGTCACACGTTGCAGCCCACCCAGCTTCACCTAAGCTGTGGCTGGATATTACTTTCAAGGTTACAGCCCCGACTATACTCAAATGACCCATATGCTGGAGATGGAAGTACAGTATGCCCCGGACAGAAAGTTCGGGCGGAGAAAGTTATAATGGAGGGGAGGAGAGAGGGAGATGAAGTGAGAAAATACAAAGAACAGAGAGGTTGAGGAGGTGGAGGATAGAAATTAAAGAAAGGTGAACGGAGGACATGAAAGAAATGGGGTGGCACTAGGAGGGAGAACGCTATTTAGTTTGATAAGGAAATGTATTTTCCACCCTCCCTTTGCATGTCTACATTTTTTCTCCCTCCTCCTTCTGTCTGTCTCCACCTCTTCCTTTTCCTCTTACACTTCTTGCATCATTCCTCCTTCAACCATTTCTTCCTTACTCCACCCTTATATAGTCCTTCCTTTCTCCTTCACGCCTTCTTCGTCTTCCCCTCCTTGCCCACAGTCCCTTCCTAATTCCATCTCTCCTTTCCTTATGTCTTCTTCCATTGCTGTGCTTTTGTCTTCCCACCTCTCCATTCCTTTCTACTTTTAATCTTTTCATTTGTCCCCTGCTCCTTCCTGTTCAGTGGCAAGTCCCAGTCCCCTGGCTGAGCCACCGGGACCCGCTGACAAATCGATACATCACTGTAATTGATTCTGTCGGGGCTCAAAGTGTTTAATGAGAGCCCCCCCTCCTCCACCCCCGTCCTCCCTCTCCTCCCTTTCGCACGTGGGCTTTGGCGCAGGCCAGTTTAATGGTTAATGGAGCAGAGGCATCCATGTGCAGCAAAGTGCTGCAGGTGGTGGGTTAGGGAAAAGGGGGCAGGATCGCGAGCCAGGTGAAGGGGTTTGGGGGGGAAGGAAGGCAAGTTAGGGGTGTTGAGGGTTAATCAGAGCAGTTCCCGAGGTGATGGACCGATCTAGCTG